TGGCACGCTCAGTGGATACTCGGAATCGTGACGTTCTCTTGAACCCATGCAGGACTGACATCCGGTCCTCACTTCGAACATTCGTTCGCCAAAAAAAAATACATCTAATAATGGGTGCTTCTGGAAATCATTGCGAGTCATCAATTGGAGTGGCTGTAGAAGTGTTTTACATGCATGAGGAACGCAGGAAACGCGCGAATTATTACAACAAGCAAAAGCGGCGGCTGCGAATATAGCAGCAGCGGCAACTAGCGGTGCACAAGCGAGATCTTCTGCAACCGAGGCTCAAAATAAATTCACCGCTGCTCTTGACCCGCACCGCCGGCAACGTAACAGGAAAAGCCATTCAATGAAACACGGCGTCATGCGGAATCCGGTCCACGCAGACCGAAACACCGACGACCGTCTGTCTGACGGACGAACGGGCCGACGACGGAGCCACGAGTGGAGGAATCTACCGAGTTTGACCAGAACTCAAGAGACCTATTCGAGTTTCCTCCGGGAAGGTCCCGTCCAGAATCTCCGGGAGTTGAACGGTAGAATATGAGGTTGCCCCCCCCCCCGAGTTGGAAATGGAAATCCACACTTATTAAGAATCCCGGCGAACAGGAATTTTATGAAATCAATGAGCCTGGCTGAATTCCCTCGAAGGTACTTCCTTCATCGTTCCGACGGGATCGATTTTTAGTTTCCCCATCCCATAACGGAGGGAAAGGATTCCTCGGATTTATTTTCGGTAGAGGGAGCTCCGGAATGAATCTATCTACTTTAGCGACACTTTATTCGGTGGCCTGACTTTGCTCGGGAGAGACCCTTCCTCGGAGGAAGGTCCGACACTGGGCAGACGAGCTCATGAATGTGACTCCGAAGGCTGCTTCCTCTAGGCGGCTCGTTGGTGAACGGGCAGTCAGTCAGTCAGTCGGCCGGGCGAGAACACCGACCAGACGTGGAAAGAGAAGCCTCGGAGAGGGACCATCCATTGGGAGAGCGCCGCTATGAAGCCAGTAGCTGGCGCACGAGGAATAGTCTTGTGAACGCATTCGAAACGAGCGGTCACGCTGTGCGTTGTCCGCTTATTTCTCCTACTTATTGTGGTTCACTTGTCACCAAGAACGATTAGTTGTCGTTAGTTGATACGGTGTTTTTTTCCCTGATCTGTCGACCCCGTCCGACAGTGAGAACTTGTTGTCGTCGGCGTCGTCCCCGCCGCCGCGCCGTCGTCGTCGTCGAGAATAGTTCGCCAGAGTTCCTCAGTTCAGAAGACTTGAGTGGCAAAAGTTCAGTGTCTATCGTACGCGCCCTCGGATAAATGGGTGCAGTCAGTGTGGACCTTACTCGACTTCTGTTAGCCGCTACTGTGGGGAATAAATTCAGGATGGCATCCGAGCAAGTGGTTCCGGATCAAAGTCCGGTGTCGGATGCTGACTCGATAATTTCTTCCGGCGAAGAAAGCGAGAACGAAGTACTCGACCTGCACATCGACAGGTCAAGATCTCCGGCGAGTTCGCCACCTCCGAGACGCACCGCCTCTCTGATATCATCCGATCCCAAGAGGACGACGTTTAAGAAATCCCTCATGAAAAGATACCGTAAGTGTCTTATGTTGCATGACTGAAGATAGGCCGCCGCTGAGCGAGCATCGGATTCCGGATCCAGTCGCCGGATCATTGACAGTCACGGCCATTGTTTCGTGGAATCGTTGTCGACAGTATCGTGGACCGACGACACGCGAATCAGACGGAGGAAATTTGATGGAGAGCCGATTCTTCACTGGGAGAAAAACAAATGAGCTAAGCAGGAAGGAAGGAAGCAAGGACAACAACACTCGCTCGCTCAATCAAGAGCGAACGAGTGAGTGAATGAATGAATCTGCGTTTGATTCCTCTACCTTATTCAGAGCGAATCGCGTCACTTCCTCAGAGTAGAGGCAGATTTCAGTCGAGAGTTCCTCTTCATGCTTGCCAACTTCCTTCCTCTTACAGCAACACGGATTCGACTGTAGCTGGCTAGCCGGCTGAATCTGTGACTGGCCACTCCTCGTACGGACTCAGGTCAAGCTGTCGGATTTTTTCGAGTTTTTCCCCTTGTCTGAATCATCGAGTGGGAAATTCGGACTGGGCTCCATCGATTGCACGGGTCGCGCGCGGATAGACGGATTAGAGGATGAATCGATCGCGGCTAAAATCGCTTGATTGATGTGATTGCTCTGAAGGCATTCGGTCGGTGAGCACCTAGCTGGCTGTCTTGCCTTCTTGCGGGTAGCTGGCCAGCTAGCTGAGTATCGAGTGCCGTCATTGGCGCTCACACGCTCAGTGCTCTCTGGGTCAATGGCACGGGCTGTTTCAAGGCCAGTCTCGCGCATGCTCCAAAGGGCCGGCCGGCCGGCCGGCCAGCCAGCCACCGACCCACGCCATTGCCGTCGTCGCTGCCACCACTACTGGCAGCCGCAATAGTGGTAGCGGCGGCACCACCACCAATACAACGGACTCCCCCCACACGCACGGAAAGGGCTCTATGAGTCTGCGTCCCTTTTAGTCCTGCAGCCGCGCACCTCCTGGGACGGAGGAAGCATTCCGAGCGACGAGCGGAGTCTGGGGGGTTCGGGCGGTCGGACGGGCAAACAAGCGAGCGAGCCCGGGGAAGTCGGTTCCAGGAAATTTCCCTCATCCGACTTCCTAGGAACCAGGGCGGTGGTGGAAGCTCGACGGCGAGTGCGGCAGCAGCGTTCGCGGGATTGGGCCTTGAATGGTCTTCTCCTCTGTAACTGGCTGAGCTTCTCTTTGATGATGAACCAGTGAAATCCCCAGAGATGATGGCGTGAGACTTTGGTTCAAGTCACGATTGATCTCTACATGTCCGGAAACGTATGAACGGAACAGTCCTTGCCCCCCTCCCCCCCCCCAGCCCGAACGGGATCCCTCCCGTTCGCGGAAGCGTTTCCCTGCGAATTGCGGCCCCTCCGATCCCCTCGCTCGGAGAAGAAATTTAGCCGACCAGCTTGTCCTTTGAGACGGCTTGACCATTCGAATGGATGGTAGCGAAAGAAAGTCATCAGTTGACCGGCGAGGAGTGGGTCCCCCGGATTCCTGGATTCAGGAAGCGTCAGAAGCAATATCGCTGCCTTTCTCCGAAGAGACTTAACCAAGCATTACTCACCTCGCATCCATCCACCTAGAGTCGCTGTTCGGTCGGCGGTGCCCGCCCGCTCATTGGCTCCCAGGTCGTATCTCCCCTACCTCAGGCTCTGGGCTGTTACAAATGACTTTTCTCCTGACAATAGAGCTCACAGAGTCCCCGTCCGTCTTAGTATCCTCTAACCTTGGCGAGCGAGCCGAATCCTTTCGGCGATTTTCCTTCCTTGACGAGAGTCGTATTCGTCGGAGTTATTTTCTCCCGGTGCGATCCATGCTGGAGCACGTCACAAGCGGAAGAGGATTCGTCACAGCTTCTCCTATCATGGATAACCTATCTCGGCTTTGATTATCGGATCAAGTTCCCCAAACGCGTTTCCTGCTTGATTTTGCTCATTAAGCCCGGCTCCCCGTACACGGGAACAATGTTGCTTTTCTGTGTGTGACATGATCGTTCTAGGCTGTCCACTGCGGATCCATGACCCATTTGGGCTTTATTTCCTTATTTCTATTTTTGTTTGTCCAATATAGACGGTCGGGAATGATGATGAAATAACTTGTTCGGAATGAGCGCCTATTATCGAATGTGTGACGCTAACCAATATGAGAGTCGCTGTCAAGGCCAAGGGAGAAACTTGCCAAGATGTGTGTCAAGATCACCTAACTGTCTCGTCGTCTACTACGGATGAAAGAGTAGGGGACTCAAATTGGCTCAGCGCTTGCTATGCAAACTAGAAAGCCCCGTAGAAGAGCCAACGGCTTCGCCGTACTTTTTCTGACTTGGCAGCGAGTCGATCTCATTTCGTTACGTTCGATGTTTTCTTGTCTCACTTGGCTTCAGTTCAATGACAGATCGGGAATGCGTTCATAAATGAACGGTTTCCCGAGAGGAGGATTAATCTGTATGTACAAACTATAATTGTATCTAAATCGGATTCCGAGCCTTGTGGACGATCCGCTTCGAGCTGTTGTTGAAATCCGCTCACGGTCCGTACCGATCGACAACGAATCCCAAACTCCGGATGGAACTCGTACGCACTCAGGCGGCGCGGAACGACGTGCGGGAGCCTCACTTCCTCCACCGGCGTTGACTTCATAGCGACGACACACCCCGACTTGTTGTTGCTACCGCGGCAGTCGCACCAAAGGACGAACGGCGGACAGACAGACGGACGGACGGACGAACGGAATGGTCATTTTGATCTTGGGGAACTAAAGCAACGGACGAATCAGCCGAGAACTCCGCTTGTCTGAAAATAACACAAAGAACTTCCAACAAACCGAGCAAGCAGCCAGTCGGCAGAGCCGGGAGGCTGGCACATAGCCGGCAAAGTAACGGACAAACGCAACCCTGCCGCTTTGGGGTTGCGGAGCCACGCACTTTCATCACCAGGCTTTCGACAGACTGCTGGCCTCGCTTACCATCATCCCAACAACAGCATCAGCGATGGTAACAACAACAGCAGCAACATACATCGGCGGCAACAGCGGAGCAGATATAGCCATTGCTATTCGATGCCGTTCATGCTTACTCCTCCCCCATCAATTTAAATTAGCGTCATCATCTTTTCTTCGATTTTTCGCGGGCCGAAACGCTCCGCATCGGGCGAGGATTTCCTTTCCGGGCTCAAGCTTCCTCCGAAGAGGAACCGCACGTCCAATGTCTAATTGCGGAGATCGCGTCGAGGATCTCACAGAAAAATAATAGGGAATAATTTTTTAACCGGCGACTCGGATATGTTTAATGAAGTTTCGTTTCCATTTCTAATTCGGGTCCTATGCGAAATGTGGTATCGAACGCTCCATCGATCCGATCTTCTAGTCGGGTTAATTTCCAAACATATACTAATAAACTTTTTGGACTTCCAGTCGATGGAGGCGAGCTCTCCAGAGTCCATGGACGTCACCAGCGTCAGTCGCCTGGTACCGACTCGAAAAGTGTCCTGGTGCACAACCTCTTGCTCCAACAACACTACATGAATGGAGCTCTCTCATCACTCCCACCGTCTCCTGCCGATTCCGGAGTTTCAGACGTCGACTCTTCTTCAGGACATCTCTCCACCGACGAAGCCAAGAGCCGACTCCATGGAGACGCATCGGGTGAGTTGAGACTTAAGTTCTTCGATCCTCGATGCGAAGAGCAGATTTGGGAGAATTTCTCCCCCGTAATTCCCGCGCGACGCTTGTAATCCTTCGGGGAAGATCTGCATTGCTCGAGAAAACGGAAAGTGCGTTTCAGGCACTCGGGTGAAGATCTTCGGCAGATCTTTTTTTTGTGCTTTTTCCTCGCCTTGGCCTCTCTTGCGATGGATATATTTAGTGCGGTTCTATCCGTCTCCTCGTCCGGTCCGGGTGTCTGTTAGCCGGTCGGAAAAAATTGTTGCATAACAACGCGAGCAATCCGTCGCTTGCTCGCCGTTAGTGACTTTGAACTTGGGATGCAGATCCAGCCAACCAGCCAAGCAAGCGAGCAAGCAAGCAGGCAGGCAGGAGAGCAACCACTCGTTGGCTCACCGTCTGTTGGGCAAGAGTGATGTCGTCAGCCGAGGGAGCAGCAAGCTGACAGCGAACCCTATAGCCGGTCGGATTGCCGGCGATCCGGACGACAAAAGGGATAACTCGGCAACGTTACGCCAAACGGCTACTTTTACAAGCGATCCCTCGGTCCGGAGCTCGGCTATGCCGCAGAGATCTTGCACTTCATTCGGAGAGCGCTCGAGGACGAGTTGGAGTGCTTCGTGCGCGAAACCACCCCCGTCTTCCGCAAAACTCTTCCTGCATAGCCTGTCGCTAAAGCCATGAGGGTTCATACACGCTCTTATTCTCACTCTCGTTCGCCGGAGCATACCCGCCCAGTCACCGAGAAAGAGGGAGAGAGAGAGATACCTCCTACCCTCGCGGACTCTGTCTGTCGGGGTCAGAGGAAAAGAAGAAAAAAAAAAACAGATAAAGAGTTCTTCCGAAAAAGGGGAATCGTACCTGCGCTCCACTGTTCTTGCTCTGGATTCCCTCGTGACAACCCCTGGTCCCCCTACCCCCCGCGACGACCCCTGTCTCCCCGAAACTCATTCTACGCCCTCGTATCCACCATCTCGCCCCCCACCAGCTCCTCTGATCGCACTCTATCGCCGCATCGACTTCCATTCCATCGGACCACCGACCCCAAAGACGAAGACTCTTTGAAGCGAGTCATTGCCATCGGGATGAGTCACTCTCACTGCGCGAACGGACGGCATCAAAGAGCCGTGTCGACGCGCATGCGTTAGCGTTTCAAGGTTAGAGTGTCAGTGGCAGCAGCAGCAGCCGCCGCCGTGGCGGTATGGCGGGGGAGAAAGGACTACCAGGACTACAGGAGGATCATGAGGGATGGGGGACGCAGGCTCGGGTGGGGAACACGAGCGGACCAGCGAGCGACGAACGAGGGAGGAGCTTTTGCTTAACAGACTCCATCCTTCGTTCCTTCTACTTTGTTCCGCACTCCCAAGCCACGTCGCCTCCCTTCCCCCTTCTATCGCCTGTCTCCGAAGCCTTGAACACTGTGTATCACAATGTTGCGATTAGCTCGAACCGGAGGAAACGCTCCAGCGTATTCTCCTCTGGATCGAGCTCATACAATCGGAGGCTGTCGTTCTGAAGCTAGGGACTTTCCTCCCTGACTGACTGTCTGGCTGGCTTCCTTCCTTCCTTGTTTCTCTTCCGCGACGCATTGGGGATCTCTGAGAACAGGGAAGCGTTGCATGCGACCGAGAAGGAAGGGTTGAGCGCTCAGCCTAGCACAAGGAGCTCACAAATCGGAGAGAACGAGGAAATCCAGCTTGAACTTGAACTCAAGGCGAGGGGGCCCAACAGGTGAATCGCTGTAGGTGCATTGTTGGAATCGCTCTCGACAGTGCGAATGCAGCGGCTGCAACAAAAAGACACGAGAAAGTAGAAAAAGAAGTACGAAAATGAGGAAGGGTTCATCAAGGTCGCCGCATCCGCATCCTGGCTATTTTCAGTGACGACAATGCGGAAAAGCTGTGAGAGCCTGCTTCCTCGTTGTTTTAGGTTGCTTACCTGCTCGGAGCTCGTTCGCTCTCCGGCAACGGTAAAAACTGCTACCTATCCGAGTATTCTTCGTTCAGAATGCAATGTGAGGATCGAACAGAAAGCGGTAAACCGGATAATGGAGAGAATACAGCGAGCATCGACGGGAATTTCTTTCTACCGGAGCTTGGGAATTGATTTTCTCGCCTTCATCGGAATCGAGGGCGCTCTGTCAGCCTTGGTCGCATTCTTCTCCAGCGGCGATGTTCTTCGGTGACGGATGCTGGAAAGCGGGATCCCCCGGTTCCCGTTGAGAAGATCTTGATTTCCTCTCGAGATGAGAAAAAAAAACCGAGCATGGATCTCGCCTATGGAAGCGAAGCAATGGAGCGGTCTTCCTACGAACTTCCTCTAGGCGTTTGTCCGTTGCCGTGACGTGTATCCGCTACTGGACGAGCGCTCGCTTTGTCGCCCGGTTGGTCGCTCGGTTCGTCGGCTGGCCGCCCGACCGACCGGCTCATCGTTGTTCCTTCCATCCGGAGAGTCAAAGCACTCCCCAAGGTCTCCTGCGGCTGCTACGCCCGGCCGTGGCTGGCGATGTTGCCACCTCTCCGCCACTGTTTGTCTGGCTACATGTTATGCAGTGCCGTAGCGTGCCGCTCTAGCGAGTGAGCCAGGACGAGGAAGGAAGAGAAGGGCTATACGCCGCCGTCGTTGTCGTCGTCGTCGACGAAGGGGGCCTCTTGGTTAGTGGGTGAGCCACAAAAGCAGCTTTGGGTAAGGCCGTGGGCCGACTACGTTGGGCCGCACGCCGTCGGAACAAGCGACCGAGCGAGCCGGCGAGCGAGCGACCGTCGGACCGACCGACTGAAAGACCTACAGACCGACAAACCTGCCTACTGGTGCCGTGGCTGCAGTGTTGTGATGTTGGCGCCCCTCTTGCTCGGAGGCCCCTCGGTCCGATCGGACGACTTAGACGACAACCGGGTCTCGCTTTTCCTCGTTCTGAGGAGCGACGGCTACTGGGCAGCATTTATTTCCGCATTTCTCTCTTTATTTTTTTCGGCCGGCTCGAATCCGATCGCTAATCGTTTTCCTCTTCTCTTGCAGATTCAGATCTTAGTGGTGTTTATACGGGATCCACGACACTGCCCTCTGTTCAACAGCAGTTCATGTACCGCCAGCTGAATGGTGTTCAGATTTCGCCTTCTAACCAAGGACTACTGTCCACATCACCTTCACTGCCCTCCGCTTCGACGCTCAACCACAGCTTCGGCGGTCAATACGAAGACCAGAAACCGTTCTTGCCGTTGGCGTTGACCAAAAACCTGCCGGCGTCGACATCAATCCTGCCGGCCGCGAGCTCGTCTTCTCCCAACAGTCCCCCGGCGAATTCTCCTCCCTCGACAGGCAACAGCTTCTTCCCGAACTACTATTTCCCCAACCAGCAAGGATTGAACATTCAAAGTCAGCAATACTATCACGAGGACCTTGGCTACTACTTCGCGGAGGACCTTTCGACCGGAGGTGCTCAAAAGCAAAAGAAGCCTCTCAGCCCCAAAAGGCCTTCGAAACCCTACGATCCGAGCCAGCCTCAGCCCTTGAAGCGCAAAAGCCGCGAAGGATCCACCACGTACCTGTGGGAATTCCTTCTGAAGCTTCTTCAGGACCGCGAGTGCTGCCCTCGTTACATCAAATGGACCCACCGCGAGAAGGGCATCTTCAAACTGGTGGACTCCAAAGCCGTCTCAAGGCTGTGGGGTCTGCACAAGAACAAGCCAGACATGAACTACGAGACTATGGGTCGCGCTCTCAGGTAAGCGGAGCGATTCTCCTTCGAGAATCGAGTTGTCGAATGACAGATCTATGACAACAAACCCCGACTTTGTCCCCTCGATCCCTGAGGTCGAAACTAAACTCGAAATCGTTTCAGGTACTACTACCAGAGGGGCATCCTTGCGAAAGTGGACGGCCAGCGCTTGGTCTATCAGTTTGTTGATGTACCCAAAGACATTATCGAGATAGACTGTTCAGGGGCCTAAGCCTCAGACTCACATTGAAGATCTTCACTTGATCACCAACACAGAACAGGCTCTGCAAGCAACCGCACCGTCACCGCCGTAATCGATTCAGATCGCTGACCGGGAAAGAATACACAAAGCAAATAGATTCTAGAGTGAAGGGAAATGTACTTTTCTCCCGATCGATGAAGCCTCACGGGATCCTTTCCGTAGGCCAGAGCAAAAAGCCGCCCGAATCTACCACCCCTCGAATCGTCTCCCTCGCGTATACGCAAGATCAAGGGAACGGAGTTGGACGAGTGCTATTTTCATTTGACGTCAATCAACTTTCTGTGATTCGAGACTTGAGGTCTGTCTGTCTTGCGGACGTCGGTCGATCGGCCTGTCTGTCTGTCTGTCCGTCCGTCGGAACTCCGAGACCCGCACGACCGACGTCACTGTGTACATACTTACGAAGCGTCAGCATGAAATTATTGGGAAATATTAGTATCAGCGATTCGGACGACTCGGACGTCACCTACCACCCAGACAACAACAACAACAACAACAATAATGAGAAGAACAACAACAGGAATGATGACGACGACGACATCTTCGAAGTGAAACCACGAAGCGGTTTCATCGAATGACCGAGTGATGATTCGACCGACCGGAGTGCGCTGGATACATAGCAGCAGTAGTTAGCACGAGCAGCGGTGCTCTTCTCGTTGATGGACGAGAATATTTTTTTAAGTTCGGTTCAACTAAACAAGGATTGTCTGACGGAGTTGTCGATAACTCTCTCTCAAAGTTTCGACAACGAGGCGAGGACCAACAAGCGAGCAACGCTACCCAAACCCACAATTTAATATTGAAACAATTAACCCTGGATCGTTCTCTATCCCCACGCGAGGAGGAAAATTCTTCGAAGCTCTGTGGTGCTCAAGACATTGTCGCCGCCTGCGATGATTACTCTCTATCCATCCAACAAACCAAGCTAGCTAGCTAGCAACCAACCGACCGGCCGCCCGATCAGGATGATGATGAGGATTTACCAGTAAATCGGCGTTTTGGAGTTGATTCTCCGGGATTGTTGAAATTATCGCACGATCGGGAGGTTCCTGATCTCGTCGACGGCTACGACGACGATGATACTGATGGGGGCGAGGTTGTTCTCCTTTTTTCTCCTTGTATTCCCCTATATTTTCGTCTGCATCTAATCCTTATATTTATAGTGCCTCGACTGGCCACAATACTTAACACCGTCGCATACTGTAATTTATTGACAACTTGATGGAAGACCGGCAAATTCAATCAATGTCAGATAAATCGTAAATTATTTTAATAACATCAATCAATGTTAAACGGGAGCAGATAAAGCATGGAACAAGCAAGACGTCGTGTGGGGGTGCGTTCTCGGGACCCCAGCGCCGGGCGAACGTATACGTACCCTCTCACTTCATAGACGAAGCAACAAGTCGCCGACCACTACAATGACATCGACAAAAACAACAACTGTAGTAACAGCAACCACAACATTTTCTGTACGTAGAACCAGATGGGCGAGATACTGAAGATTATTTTTTGATTATGAGATTGTATGACGTAAAGAGCGAAACCCCAAAGAAGTGCGTGAAACGATGACGACGTCACATGTATCTCGAACAGCTCGATGTATCGATGTCGGTATCCGAACTCTCCGTTCACAACCTGGCCGGGATTCGAGCATCGGCATACCCTAGCAGACTTTAAATGGTCTGTGTCTAGACGCTACGGGCTGACTGAGAGTATTTTTTTGGATAACGCCGACGAGTGCTTGGATTCTGGTTCCGATAGCCGTTCACCGAGTTCAGTGGCTTTCCGGTGTTTGGTCAGACTACGTAGATCCGAAACTCGGCCTGAGAGCGTGAATTCTCTCTCTGAGAGTTCAAATCAGTGGGGAATTCTGCGCACCTCCGACAATGTTCGTCGAGTACAAGATCTACGGCTACTTCTCCTACCATTACCAGAGAGGGAAAGAAAGAAAAGAGAGAGAATCTATATAGTTTTGAGCTATCGACAACATTCAAACATGATCGTCTGCCGATCAAACCCATTCGGACCAAGTCGCGAACGAATCTGACAATGAGAATCAGACAGACAGAGAGAGAGTGAGCTATGAAATGGCATAGTTTTGCTGTTCACGTATTTTCTTAAATGCCACGGGAGCCGAATGACTCTTTTCGAGATGTTTTCTCACATATCTTCGGTTATTTCGATCGATTGGACCCTTCACGCGACGATCAGATGTTATGGTTGCTATGTTATGATTTTCCCAAACTGGTCAAAGTATTTCTGTACTTTGAAAGAACCATTGTGTTGATCCGCGCGTTGCTCTCGGACCGTCCCGAAAGACATTTCTCGGGACGTGGTTTTTGTTCAGGACAGCTCCGGTCCTCCGAGTGTCGGTTCACTTGGATCTGAGGCCTGCCGGACGTCCGGCGCAAAGTGAGCCGGACTGGGCTCGACCGAGCGAGTTACAAACTTTGATTGAATTTCGAGTTTCAACGATCATTTACTATTACTCTGTCATTAGCCGATGTCGTCTGTCTCCCACCCGTTTGCGTTCACTCGGTTGGTTCCGCGGAAAGCCGTGAAGTCTTTCTGTCCTGAAGGTTTTGTTGCGTCCGACGGCGCCCGTGTCTGGAGCCCGTAGAGCGGTCTCCACCTACTGTAAATACGTCATCATGTGAAGTGAAGACAGCGTCCGACTCGACGGCAGTGTCTGCTCGCGTGCGTGCGCGCTTAATGGCGTCGTTTAATGTTGACCAACCGGATTTGATCGGTAGCGTACACCGCCAGCGCTGCAGTGGCTGTGACGCCGCCTTCACGCCAGTGTATCTGTACATAAAAAATATATATCTTATATTATAATTATGCTCACGAGGCATAACTCTATTAAAATAAATGTTACAACGTCCTTGCTTTGGAACCCGTAAATTCGATCATCTTTCTTCAAATTAGGTAGATCATCAGGGGGCCAGACCCGAGGGGATATATCCTTATCGAGCATTCCGCTATCCATGCAGAATCTCATGCCGTTGATCTCGACGGAGAGCTCATGGCTTGACGCTATGGGCTAGCTTCTACGTGGGAAGGACTCCCCCGCCTTATTTGCTCACTCAGTAACCGGAAAGAAGAAGATAGGGCTCAATATGGGGAACTTGGAAAACACTCATTTCGTGGGACCCGGAGTCACGCAAACATCGAGAAAGTATAGGACGGCCCCCAGACGTTCTTCCCACTCGATTCAGTGGGTCAATTGCAGGGAGTTAAGCAGCTGCCCGCGAGCCTGTAGGCTCGTTATATGACTCTTGACGCAAGATCAGGTGTTGTGTGATCGAGATATGCCGCTGAAATGAAGAGAGATAAGGAATTCAGCCGAAACGGGGGGCAAGCCGATCTCACCCAGAATGGAGCTCCCTAGCACTTGAGCCCCCCAGGGAACCTAGTTTAACTGAAATGAGTGAGGATCCTCATCGATGCTCATCAATCATTCATCATCGCTCCCCGCTCCTGAAAGAGTCGGAGCGTTCTCCAAGCGCTTGCTGTCATCAGTCCCATCGCAGAGACACGGGAGAAAAGACGCCAGATTTCCGTGTGTACATGAGAGAGGTTTCCCAAGATTTACTTATCATAGATGTATTCACAAAAGAGCGTCGACACTCATTCCGTGGTTGCGAGCGAGATTGGACATCATATCTAAAGAACCTATCACTACAACAGTGAGTCTTCACAACGGAGATACTCCCCAACATCAGCTTGATGAAAAACAACAATCGTCATCGGATCAGCGTTCCGACACTCCTGTGTAGACTTTGCAGCCACTCCGAAACCGATGGGAACATCGTTCATGTTGTAAACTATGATCCCCTGGTACTTCTCTACGTTTTCAGAGAGTCGTGAGACCCCTCCTTTGAGCACATTGTGCCCGTATAGAAACTGTTGCTCAGCGCTCGGCTTCAACCAAATCTTGGCCTTCGCGTAGGGAGCTATCTGGTCCAGAGCGGTGACTTGAAGGCGGAATTTTCCTGGAGGAAGTGATAAATAGATTCAGTGGATGAGTTCCATATATTTGGGACCGGGAATTCAAGTTCCAACCAGCCGTTTCTACGGGTTCCATTACCGCTGCGATTGAGCATAGGGTTGACTCCGGAACCGAAAGAGTGACAATCTAAACGCCGAGCGCGGTTTCCTCACCGGTTTTCGTGAACTTCCCGAAGCACACCCCCATCATGAGGAGCTGGGCTCGAGGCACATTGCAGGCAACTTTGAGCACTTTCTCGGATATGTAAAAAACGCGATCTTTCTGGATGCGAAAGCAGTAGGTTCCATCTTCGCGGTCGACCAGCAATTTCACCGAGCTCCCGATGAACTTGTCAACTTTCCCAAGAACAGCCTTCGTCTCGTCGTCAGTCAGAGGTCTCATGTCGATTGGTGGTACGTGAGGATAGCCAATCGAACGAAGAACTTATAGTTGACCAGCTTTCAAGACCATAAACAACAGCACCACGTGCGCGTTCCGCCGTCTAAAACCCACACACGTTCAACGAGTGGCCCGTATCGTGGAGAGGGAAGCGACCGAATTCTAAAGCAGACATGACTTGTCCGACTACGGCGGAATCGCCGGGCCGAATCTTCGAGTCAATCATCCCGTATTCTCTCTAATTGTGGGGTGCCGCGGATTCTAAGTCTGGTGCCCCGACAAATCTGTCCAGAGTTAGCTCGCGCACAATCCGTCAATCATTCCTGAGCCAGATGACGGAACTTCGGAACGCGAGCTGAGCGGATGCGCTACCTCTCTCGAAGGAGATTCGCCGGCGCGTTTGAGTCGGAGTTAAGGGCGCAGTAGCGTATTAAGGCGGGGGTAAAGGGGGGCGTACCGCCCCGGGCGGCACTTTCTGCGGAGCTTTCAGGGGGCATTTCGGGGTTTTGCACCGGAAAAACGGAGTGTTTTGGGGGAAAAATATCTGGCGGGGGTGGCATTTCCGTCGAGCACGTTGAAAAAACGGAAAATGTCGAATCACCGCCCCGGGCGGAAGTCCGGCTCGCCACGCCACTGTAGGGGTGCCCCACCATTAGAGAGAATATGGTACCTATCTGCTCCCGGGGCTCAGAGCTGACTCTCGAAACGATCTGGGATTGTCCGACATCGTCCGCAATCGTCCGATAAATGCAGCATCCTCCCGGTTCCAGCGAAGACGATAGGGAGCGGGAAGGAACACGAAACCAATGCAGATCATAAATCTTTTTTCTCATTCGATACGCAAGTCAACTCGCCGGCCCTGGAGCCGAGAGCTCTAATGACATGTTTTACGTTAAATGACCAGTTCTCGAACCCAATAACACAATTTACAGATCCAGGCTCGAGATTCATTTGTTTTCGCCCTGAAGTTTCCTCGCGAACTTCTTCTTCCCACGCTTCAACTTTTCCTGCTTGATGCTCTTCTTAATTTTCTCCTTCTTCTGTTTACTCATGCGCGGGGCGCCATTGATTCTCATCTCTTGTCTGATCGCCTTTTTCTCCAGCTTCCTCTTGCTGATTTTCTCCTTCGAACCGCTGAGCAAGGCGTTCTTCGACGACGGTAGCGTCGTTTTTCTCTTCTCGATGGCTGAAACCCGGATCGCTCTCCCTTGAAACTCCTTTGAAGAGAACTCGAGTGCGAGGGCGGCTGAGGACGCGTCCTTGAAAACTACGAAGGCTATGCCCTTCCCGATTCCTGGAAGAATTGATCATCATGGTTGAGGTCGGGCCAACATTCACGAGGAGGAGGACCTCGCACAAAAATAATTCCAGCCTTCGGCCATCTGCACTGACGAACTCGTGTATCCCGCCTACCTGTCTCATTATCTCGTACTACACGGACGTAATCAATAGCGCCAGCTTCCTCGAAGAAATCCCACAACGCGTCATCGGTAGTATCGAACGGTATGTTCCCGCAGAACACGCTGCGCTTCTGAGGGATGTTTGAGGCTTCGCGTCGATCGACACGCAGGTGGTGTCCCTCGTATTCGATTCCATTCAAATCGATCGCGGTTTGAACCGAAGAGGCGTCTTTGAAAACTACGAAAGCGCTTATCTGGAAGGAGTATAACTTGGCAGCGATCCCAAGATAGGAAAAAATATCACCGCTCCCCCGGGACCGGGATCGAGCGATCGAAGAACATCAAACCACCCCAACGATCAACTCACGGTGGTCCCTTCCTTGATGAGCGAACGTTTTTTTATAGCAGCCTCCACGGGGATTCCAGCTTTCGCCGGTATCGCATTTGCAAACCTAACGAACAGGATATCTCCGCACTTCTCGAATAGTCTCTTCACATGTTTTCTCTGCGATTTCGGGGGCAGATTCTTCACGAATATCGTTTGCGGTATGAAAGCAGGATCGTCCTCGTAGTAACGAAAATCACGCTTTGCTTCTTCTGAAAAGAGGGCGAAACTTTTCGTCAGCGACATGTCTCCCGAAACTATGAATCTTCCCCCACCTCTAATCTGCGAACTCTGACTCCGTCTACTATCGGCTCAAACCTTTCGCTTCCTTATCGTGCTCCTGTTTGAGCGAGGCTTTGCGTCGTATCCGTTTTAAAGCGGCCGTACGGTTCGTCAGCTCGCCACTCGTAGCATCCTCTTCGCCGAGGGTATTGTCATTTGGTTCAACTCCTTGGTCATCTCGAGGAGGCCTTTGTGGACCATGTTTCGCACGTTTTTTGACTAGGGAATTCTCTCTCCCCTTCTGCTTGTCTCCGATGACGGATTCTCCAGCTTCGGATTTCCTTTTCTTGGCCGGAGTTCCTTGACGATTCCCGATTTCCTGGGGTTTTTTCAATGGGGTGAACTCCTCATACAATCGCTTGACGTGTTTCAGCTTGACCGGAGCTCCCTCTGATTTCTGACTTTTCTTGCCGAAGAGAGCCGAGAGGGATCCCGCCACATATTCAGAAGTCATTATGACCCTACGAACGCAGAAAAGAGTGTTAGGAGGCGGCTCCACCGAGAAGACCAGAAAGTTTCAGCTGACCTCTTGAAAACGGGCGTTCACGAAAATTGAGGGAGGACTTTCAAGGAATGTCTTCTCAATCGAGAGTTCGAGGGCATGCATTCGCTTCGCTGAGGGAATTGAGATCACGAGCGCAAATTCTCAACGGATTTCACTTGACGGTTACGACCACCGCCGTCGTGTAGAAAAACTGATTCATGTATCGCTCACCTGGATAGATGCCTCAAAGTAATAAACCCTCTTCCCTCTTCATAGAACGGAACAGAGAACGATTTCACGTGTTCGGAAAAATAGAGATCAGAGAGAGGGGTTCTACTCTTTCCCAGGCAGACAGTATTTTCAAAATAACGATCGTGCGTTGTGGTTCTCCTGGAGTGGAGGGACAGACATGAAATTCGCCGGGAATGCCGGCACGACGTACCTGGAGAACACAGGAACGATATGGGGGTCGCTGGCGCCCCTCGGGAACGACGAGGAACGCGAAAGATGGCACCGGAATGGAGTACCCAGAAGTCTGGTTAGCTTTGCAGCAGCACGATTGCAGACGCATGTTTGCCTAACGCTGTCGTTGATGATCTCTGCTCCGTCACTTTACACACGTCCGCCGCTCTTCCTCCGGAGGAGACTTCCACCCATTCAGACAGAGGAGGCATTGGACTCTTCGGCGGCTTTCAGACTTCCGAATTGTCTTCGTCTTAGTGCAGCGAGGACAGATAGATTCATAGGAATCTTTATCTGTGTTTAATCTCATTTATTCTTCTTTTGACATGCTAGCCCAGAAATCAGTTTGAGCATTGAGAGACCCGCAAAAAACCTACTATTCTTTCGTTGCTTTCCCATACTCTTCCGATGTCTTGAGCGCTTGATTCGACTCCAACAACATCTCCAAGTCGATCATATCGCAACAGATTACTATCCGACCTGTGTGTGAGCTGCTGAAGAGCCGTATGGGCTCCGATCTCGAGTCGAATGAAAGAACGTCCGTCGGTGTGTCACGGTCCGTGGTGTGAGGGGTGAATTTATTGTAAGCAGTGGCGTGCTTCCCCATAGTGCCACCCGGGGCGGTCATCGGAAATTTCAATTTTTCGGACGCGATCAACCACAATGCCGCCCCCTGTCCGAATATTTTCCGTCCTCTAACGAAACGTCAAGTCAGCGGTGAAACCCCGCAATGCTCCTTTGTAGGCCGCATTGCAAGGCAGTTTCTCATTTAGCTGGCGTCACGAAATTGTCCAGAGGGTAGTCGACAGAAGCGAGCTATATATTACCGTATAATGCGAAAACGTCTCTGCTGTGTTACCACTGGGAAGAGAACTCACGTGGACTGGCGCAAAAGATGGCCGCAATAGAATATTGGCTTTATTCAACGTAGTTATCGAGCTATTAGAGAGTATCCTCCTGGTACTTTCGACTAACTAAGAGCGCGAAGTCGACAGTCTCACGCTTCCGCATCCGAATATTCTTCCGGGCTGTCGCTTGCTGATTCGATTCATGTACGAGGACTGAAAATTGACTAAACTATGTACAGGGACTATGTAGATTACTAGCCGCGAGGGCGTTTCGCAAGGGGCCATGGCCCCCTCCAAGATCTCTCTCCGGCACATAGGGCTCCATGTTGTGGCTCATCATCATCGGTGGTTTGCCCCATCCTAGGCAAGGCGTTTCAATCTTCGTTCAAAAGCTCTCTGTCGACAGCCGTGTTCGCAGTTGAACTCACGAACTTTCTTCCCCGCTCACTCTCGGACCTGAAGGTCGGTTATCGCGGCACATTGACCTTCGGTATTCTCTAGAACGCCAACAGCAACCCCCAAGGCCACGATCCACGACCTTGAGAGTGTCGTCAATCGGCTCCGCGTTTTGTCACTTTCTTGAAATGCCGTCGCGGCACATGAGACTTTGCGGTCTGCCGCTATTAGATCGATCATCTTGTTGGTTTCCGCGTCAAGTATTTCGAGGAGCCTTACCATCTTATTATGTTACATTCGATACCTCCAACGAAATTCGCTGAATCATCCTTAAGGACACCAACCATCGCGACTCAGTCAGTCGCAGGGAATGTACACCGAATCTTGCCGACTCACATTGCCGTTCCCGGGGATCGAACTCGGCGCAACAAGATCCCCGGGTCATGCCCTCTCGCGACAGGGGTTTGCACCTACTCGGCGCCAAGCACGAGTCTCTCATGGTCTTCCCGTCGATGTCCTCGGCAGTTTCACTATGCCGGACATCATCAGCCGCCCTCGCTGCCCGCTTTTGTCGCACGATGCTCCTCGTCTTCGGCCTCAAAGCTAAAACCGAGCAATGAAGCCCCTGACCTCTCGAAGGCTCAGCTATATTTCTCGTTCCCGTTTATCGAATTTCGGCGGGACCCTTGTTGGGAAACTAGGAGAGACGAGACCAGCAGAGGTCATGCGGCGAGGAGCAAAAGCGAAAAAGATTCCGCTGCATGCGGTGGTGTGATGCACCATGCACCGTGATCTTCCGCGATCGACCGCGGTCAAAGGTCCCGCAATGAGCATGCACGGCCAGGGTACAGCACGGTACAACCCATATCCATGGAACTCTTTGGGACTCGGAGATCGGAGTCGAGACGGATGATGCGGAATAGAACCGGATCGCGCTCGAACCATCAGCAAAGATCATCAGCATCATGGGCGCAGTCAGTCTTCCCTCTCCCCTTCGGTCCCCGGGGAGAGGGTATCGGCCGGCCCAACGTAGCCCGATCTCCGGAAGGCTCGCATCCAACTGTGTCACGGAAACTGTTTTCGTTCTCTAGAGAGATCGCGACACGCGCACTGAATTGATTAACTGTGGAATATTCTCGGATCTGAGGCTGGACAATGAGAGCAACAGATCCGTTGAACGTCCAGAAGACTGATGTCGACTATGCTCAGATGAGTTTTCCGAATAACAAGCCGATAAAGTTCCGCGAGGTAGCCCCAATGCAACTCAGGGATAGAGTATCCTTGAAACGTCTGAGAGACACAGGTGAGTCCTCCTCAGGGAGAATCCAGAGCCGATTGGGTCCTTCGATTGGCTCAGCCATCGGCACCAGTATGAGGTGCGGGGCTCTATGATTCGTCCGACTTACTCACATCGCAGCCCCGAGAGATTGGCGTTCCCGAAATATAATAGAATGAATAAAAATATTGTCCCGCCCCCGCACAGAGAGAGCTTGTCTGGCTGAGATGATGACGCTCTTCACATGTCTCGCTAAAAAGGATTTCGAGACGTCCGGATGCCCTAAAGAAATCGCTGCATTAAATACTTGCTATAAGGACATTCGAGTGAGTCCGTGAATCGGCGTTCTATTATGATTCCGAATCTTCATCGATTTCTCAGAGTCATCGGAGCGGATGACGCATGATCACAAATCTTCTTCCCCAGGACGAATCGATGGCGAAAAAACAGAGAGCTCTCCAACAAGCTCCGGTCTCATCGATTCGTGAGCTGACATCCCACCAAGCCAATGCTCTCCTCAAGAAGTTCCCCCTGCGGCACCTCATGAAAAAAGTCAGATAATTAGGGCGCTACTCTCATGCGTAGAATACCATAAGTACATGCCGTTATCCGATTGCAACAGCGGATCGAATGTTTGAATTAATGAATGGAGTATACAAGAAGTATATGCCTTTGAACATGGTGAGGTTTTGTGTTCTAAGCGGAATTGAGGAAAATAATCTGGATGCTAGATCCCTCGTTCCGACCTCGGGCCGGTCCCTTATTGCCTGCGGTTCCGAGAGCTCGGGCCCGCGCTCATTGAGGCAGAACTAAGGCATCAATCCGCTTTGTCCTCGATGCATAGACCGCCGCCTCCCCCTCGAGAGCTTCGTGGATCTGCCGCCGCCGCTAATATCGGCTTTTCGGCTCCGTCTAAGTTAGTTCGAGGGCTAATGCTCTTATTAGTGTAGCGAATTGCGGGGTTTATGCCGTATCTGTGCGAGAATTCAAGAAATGTGGTCCTCCGGATTTTCTCAATCAAAACATCGTGTAGATGCGAGCATGCTCGACGGCGCGTCTGTGTTACCAGGGCTCCGGGTGTTCCGCTCCAGATTGAGGAGTCGTTTCAGAGGACCCAAGGTAGCTTCCGATGAAGATTGCATGGCGAACTTGGAACCCCAACGCTGGGTGGAGGTTCAAGCCTCTTATTCGATCTCAATCTTTTCGGTTCTCGCTGGAGTGATATTATCGTTGAGGTCTTCAGAATCACCCATCGATCAGGAGATCCGCTTTCACTCTCGCGGATTTTTTTTTCCGAAAAATGAAGGTTGGAAATCTTCAACGCGATAAACAGGCGTGACATCCCATGACGGGGACGAGGCTCCTGTCGAAGGTGAGGCCAGGATTCGGAAATCGTCCGGAATACAGAGTCGTAAGCCTCATCTACTGAGCGTCCCGAAAAACGATTGCAGCCTCAAATCGGGGACTCGACCCTTAAGAACGATTTTGATTCGAAGGCCTCTGTCGAGTTGCCTCCATGATCGAGATCGAACTCTAGAAGAGTAAGGGGTATGCCAGGGAGTATAAAAGACAGGGGTAGCTTTTGATCAATAACAAAAAGACAACGAACGCACTGTCTGGCGGAGTCTTGTCTTTCACTGGCGCAGTCGACATAGAAAGAACATGGTCTGGATTACTGTCCGAATCCTTCCCAACAACGAGGAAAACCCAACAGACTTCCTAGTCAAGGATGTCAAAGAAGATGGAGACGAATGGTACGAAATCCCACCTCCTGGAATTCATTTCAAAAACCTTGTCAAGAAGAAATTCCCTAAGAAGGATCTGCAAGATCTCTTGAGTATCAAAGAGTTCCGAATCAACATCGAAGGTGTCGAATTCCAAAAGTTACTACAAGAAGGACAAGGAGGTGGAGGTGACACAGGAGGCAACACCTCAAATGAAGACTCAAGAGAGTCAGAAGAGGACACGCTCACAAAATTAGTCAGAGCTCTAGCAAAAGAGTTGAATGGCTCCTCAAACCAAGTTCGTCCAAAACCATCAATTTTCAAAGGATCTTCGTCTAAGATCGCTCCAGAAGCCTGGATCACTCAATTCGATCATTTCGTGAAAACTCGAGATGATTTCGAAAAGATAATGCTCCTCCGCGAATATGTTTCGGGAGTAGCCCTCTCATGGTACGACTCTGCAATAGCCGCATTAGGCATCGAGAGCGCTTGGTCAAAATGGCGGGAGAGCTTTCAACTAGCATTCCTTCCCGACCATCTTCGAGATGCCGAAACAGCAACGAAGTACTATTTCAAAGAAGACCAAAGCAACCTGTCCGAATATTTGTTCGAGAAACAAAGACTTCTACTTCGAGCGGATCCTACAATGACAGACCGCTCTATAACACAAGCAACTCTCTTGGGCTTGCCATTCTACATAAGGCAGCAATACAAGATGTTGCGTCCCAAATGCTTCAAAGATCTGATGGTGAACGTTGACGTCATATCCGTAAAACCCAAAAAGGCCATAGATAAAACCGAAGAGAAGAAGGCTCGGGTGAACAATGTAATCACGGAGGAGAGCGATAACGAATCACAAGGCCGCGAGCCTTTAAACTAATAAAAGGGGGTCCCATCTCGACCCCGAGGTCGCCAAACGAGACGATTCTTCTCAGCAGCACTTCACTGCCAACGTTGACAGTCACAACCGACAAAAAACATTCAGTGCATGCAATATTGGATTCAGGAGCATCAGTGTCCGTCATCAATCGAAAAATTGTTGATGGAAAGAAGGTCCGAAAAGGAAACAGTATTGTGGTAGAAGATTATCGGGGAATCCACACACATATGACGAATGGTGTGAAATCTTGGTTCGCATAGACACAGAGGCGAGAACTATTCGCTTTCTTGTCGTCGACGGTACGAAGTATGACATGCTCATCTCCAGAAAAGCCATGAGAGATTTCAAGTTGAATCTCCATCATGATGATACGATCTCTTTCGGTGACTCCCATGACAAGAAAATCGCCATGAAAGCCAACATCCATGTGAAGCAGAATTTCGATGCCTTCGAGATCGAAAGTGTTGAGGATATCAAGACCCACTTTCCAGCTGTGATCTCTCCAACACCCTACCCAGAACCAGTGAGAAAATTCTCAGTCCCATTTATATTGAACGATACATCACCTGTTTGTAGGAAACCGTACGTCTTGTCGCGAGCAAAACAAGAATCAATGGAGAAGGAACTACGAGAAATGATAAAGCACAACATAGTGCGGGAATCAACGTCTAACTTCGGAAGTCCCTGTACAATGGTTCCAAAAACAGACGGGTCGTGGCGTTTCGTAACTGACTATCGGTTAGTGAATCAGAAAACGGATCTCTTGAGTTGGCCACTCCCTAGAATCGACGAGATAATTGCCCAGACAGGAGGCTGCAGAGTCTTCTCAACGATCGATCTTTTGAAAGGGTACTGGCAGCAACCCCTCACAGAGGAAACGAAACACTTCTCGGCATTTGTGACACCCTTTGGCACCTTCGAATACAACGTCAACCCATTTGGTTGGAAGAATGCCCCAAAGTATTTCCAAAAAATGATGGATTCGGTGATGAGGCCCCATCGTGAATATGCTAGGGTGTACGTGGACGACATCATCGTTTTTTCGAAAGATAATTCGGAACATCAACTACACTTGAAGAAAGTCTTACGCTCCTTAGAAGAAGCGTCGTTGAAGATTAATGTAAAGAAGTCGGAGTTTTTCCGCTCGGAAGTCATATTTCTTGGACGAAAACTCGATGGATATACCAAGAACACGAAAGAGGAGTCCATAGAGAGAGTACGGAAAATAAGCTGTCCGAAAGACATCCACCAACTTCGGACATTTCTGGGACTATGCGGTCACTTCCGCTCCTTCATTAAAGACTACGCGAGGATAGTGAAGCCTTTGACTGAGCTCACAGCTCAGGGCGTACCTTATAAGTGGGAACCAACCCATCAAGACATATTCGAGCAACTCAAGATTATTATTACAAGCAACCCTATACTCGCGTTACCAGATTTCCGGAAACAGTTCATTTTAACGACTGATGCTTCGGATGTTGGCACAGGTGCGGTTCTTTCACAAATACTCGACGATGGAAAAGAGCATGTAGTGGGATACTATTCCTACACTCTGACGTCGGCCGAGAAGAATTACAATACTTCAGAAAAAGAGGCTCTCGCGGTATTGAAAGCCGTAGAGTACTTCCGTTCATTTCTCGATGAGCAAAAGTTCACCTTGAAAACGGATCATAGCGCTTTGAAAGAATATTGTCAACCAAGGAACCGAAAGGTAGGAATCGCGAGATGGTTAAGAGCTCTGAACGAATTGGATTATGTAGTCATTCACGCCCGGGTCAGAAAATTAAACACGCGGACGGACTTTCAAGACTTCAACAGGATCAATCAGACATGGAGTTAGTGATGCTGTTAAGTCAGGAAAACCGGATCCCTGTAAATGATGCCGAGAAATCGAAGATTCTAGAATTGTATCACGATTCACCACACTCCGGAGGACATGACGGGGTTTGGAGAACCTATTTGAAGATCGCTAAGCGATTCACGTGGCCGTCGATGAAACGGGAGGTCAAGGAGTATGTGAAATCTTGTGATACTTGTCAAGTTAATAAGGCGAAATTCCGCCCGAAGCCGGACGAGATGCTAGTAGTGCCGAAGACAACTCCGATGCATACAGTCCATCTGGATTTTGCCGAGGTCGAAAAGAAGAAAGAGGGGGTCGCCTCGACGAAGTCTTTTCTTGTGGGCATCGACCGCAACACTCGGTTCGCTTTCGCGAAGGCTTGCAAGGGGAATGCCAAGGAGGTTATTCGTTTTCTATCGCAGAAAGGATTTAAAGACGTACGGAGAGTAGTATCGGATAGAGCGAAGGTCTTCGAAAGCAGAGAGTTGCGTGAGTGGGCAAGACAGAGAAACATTGAGGTCTTGCCGGGTAGTCCTTACCACCCTCAATCAAATGGTTTGGCAGAACGTTTAATTCGAGATTTGAAGATGTTCATGAGCATGTATGCCAATTTCCCAGGGGGCTGGAAAGGTAGCCTCGAGGCTGCAGTCAAACATCACAATCGATCGTTTTGTAGCAGTATTGGTTGTAGTCCGCATTTCGCTTTGAAGGGCGAGGTACCTTATTTGCAGGCTGACAAACTTCTCGGTGTCGAGAACAGAGTAAGATTGGTCGAGTGTCGGAATGAGGTGATAGAGGAGCTCAAGAAAGCGAAGCAAAAGGAGTATTTCGACAAGAGACATAGTCAGAGGTTCCCGGAGCTCAGAGAGGGAGATCAAGTTTTGGTCAGATTTGGCTTGACCCCTCACAACACGGAATACAAAGGCCCATTCGTCTTGAAAAAGGTTGAAAGTTTCAAGGGGGTTCCGAAGCGATTTTTCTACGACGCTGAGGGCAAAGAGAAGGTTGCCACGTTGCGGAACATAGTTCCTTACACTCCTCGGAGAGGGTGACTCAGAAAGTCGGGGGAGTAAGGGGTATGCCAGGGAGTATAAAAGACAGGGGTAGCTTTTGATCAATAACAAAAAGACAACGAACGCACTGTCTGGCGGAGTCTTGTCTTTCACTAGAAGTAAGCTCTTAGTTCTGCGGGACCATCGCCGATCCCTAGGAGAAGGCCCTGAAAGGTGCACTCGAAAGAACCCTTGCCGACTCGTTCGGAAATCTGATTTTCAGCATCAAGATCGAATGCTCGCGTGAATCATCCGGGTGTCTGTTTCAGGTCCCCAGGGTTTTCCAAACGAAATAACCTCAGACGATCTTTTGGTCTAATCATTCATCACCGGCGACTGCGTCAGGAAGAGCGATCACACGTATTTTGCTCCCTCGGTGCCGTCCCCCATGATGTTTGCTCCACTCTTCATTCCGTTGGGGTCGGAGGCGCTGATTCCATCAGAATTTGTTTTCCGTCGAGTCCCGCCCCCGTTCCCGAGCGGTCACTCCGCGGGGTATCCTCGAGAAGTCGGATCGATGACATCCGCCAGATCATCCTCAGTGGCTCTCAAGCCGATCTGGGATCACCGGGGGCAACTTCCTTGTGACCACATTGACGGGCGACGACGAAATAAGAGTGGAAAGCTTTTACTTTCTGCTCATTATCACTCTTATTCAAAACTAACCGCCGCGGATCGATGATGATGACAATGATCATCGGAGTATCGTAAAAATCGACAAATCCATCCCGCGGCTTGTCTTCTCGCAGTACCCGAGCGAGCTGCTGAGACCATACCTCGATTTCTGGGGGAGAGAAACTCGGAATCGTGGCATCGTTCGGGCGCATGCCAGACGATTCGGATTGCTGCGATGTCGTAACCGTTCTGCGTCCGATATCGGGTCTGAGTCCTGAGCCTGAGAGGCCGGAAGTCGGACCATGCGATTCAGCCAAAGTCATCTCCCCCTCCTATTGACAGTGAATGAGCGGAAAAGAATTTAATCGCTGCCATGGAAGCGGAAATTATTTTCCTTCTCCGGATTCGAACCCAGCAATCTTCTGCAGGAAACATCTGTTTTGCCCGCGACTTGATGATCCCGGGCGATTCAATCGTGAACCCGCGCGGCTTCTCCGTAGCGACTCCTCCGAGATATCTCGAGCGACTTCTCCGTGATTCCGAGCGAAGTCTCCGTGATTCCATGCTCCGGCGAGATTCAGGTTTGGCTCCGTACGATCCGACGCGTTCGACTGAACATTAGAATTGACGAATGGTGGGAGTCGGTATTCGGTGCCTTATTCCGGTCAAACCATCAGCAAAGATCATCGGCACCGTCGTCTGCACTCTCCCATCGACAGATTCCACTGTTCTGCAATTATTTTACCCCGCGTTCTTCTTGTACGCACGTCCCATGTGGGGAGCCAATTCGGAAATATCGAAACGAAAGTCTCTAGGCTACATTAAAACTGACGACCATAAGACGAACTCCTATCGTTGTGTGTAGATCAGGCTCCGGTGCTCACATAATATGGCCAGAGGCAAGAAGAAGGGCCGTCAGCAGGCTGATTCTAGGTGAGAGACTAGACGACTATGCACGTTTCTTGAACACATACGGAGGATCTTTTGCAATGATTTTCGAGTCCTTCTCATTCTCCCCGGAATCCTCATTGATTTTCGATGACTGAAAGGGGTCGCCGGAACACTTTCTCGCTCTAAAATTCGTGAAAGGCCGTCAGGAGATAAAAGAGAGAAGAAACCGGTTCGAGATGAGAGGCTGCTCTCCGTTGAACATCTGATGGCTCCGAGACAAGCTCGCGATTTTGAATCTGCTCTGAGATGTCTCACGGTGCCGAGCTCGATGGTGCACTGTATACTCAGAAGGTTCCGTCGACCATATGGCGTGATACTCTGTGTGTTCTTGCTCGAACACAACAATTTGACGTGAAGTCACTTCGCTCTCATGGGAATCGAGGACTGAAAGATCCACGTACACCCACATTTCCGAGCTGCATCTTCCCTCTCTTCGCTGAACTCCATGAGGATCACACCGGTCCGGGTTGCGAGTTCCTCATGATTCTCCCGAGCAGAGCACGATTTTAGAAACTCAAGGCCCATTCCAATTCCTCCCGCAGTGACGATGAGCCGAAACAGTCGATGGCGACGGCCGCTAATGGATCCGACGAAGACTTGAAGACCAACAACGCTGCTCAGGCTCCGAAAGGTTTGGGCCGTCCTCTTACGCCTCAGATCATTGCTCGTCATCTCAAGTACCTTCTCACTCCCAAGGGAGCCTTCCTCTGAAATCATTTCGTTCCAGCAGCGAAGAAGAAAGATAAGAAGAAATCAAAGAAAAAAGCCGACTCGGACAATGACAGTGACATCGATGCTTCGAAATTCAAAGTCAAGCCCAGTGAGGAGAAGGATGTTGATTCCGAGGACGATATGATCGTCGCGATGAAACCGAAAGCCAAGAAGGATAAGAAGAAGAAGGCCGGGTTCTCGGCTCTGGCCGTCGAGGATAGCGACGATGGTGGGTCTCGACCGGGAATATCATGCAAACTGATCATCGTGCGAATTCCCCCCTCGACTTACCCGAGATCGCCTTCTGTTTTATAGGAGTTGCGGTTTCAAAACCGAAAAGTGCCTTCTCGGCTTTAATGGAGGATCAAGACCTCTCGGACGATGAGGACTTAGGAGCGCAACCGAAATCAAAACCACGGACAGGATTTTCCGCTCTGGCAGACAGCGACGATGATGTCAATGTAGTGAAGCCAGAAGACTACCCGGACTCAGAGGACGATAAGGTATTTGCACACCGATTACATTTCATCCGAAGAGTACCGATACTCGTCTCGACCACTCCCGTCGATCCATGAGTAGGGGTGGAGCAATACCTAAGGTCCAATATTCTTTCATTCCAGAAGCAAAAGAAAGAGAAGAAACCGAAAGAGAAGAAAGCCAAGAAAGGCAAGAAGGTTGAAAAGGAACCTACTGAAGAAGAGGATCTCGATAAACTGCTCGCTGACATGAATATTGAAATCAAGGACACGGGCAAGAAAGAAAAGAAAAAGAAGAAGAAAGACGCCAAAAATCAAGAAGACGGAGCAGCTCAAGCGGGGGCTACGGTCGCAGATGCCGATGTCGACAAAACGAATGACGTCGTAGCACCTGAAGGCGTCCCTGACAGCGCTGCTGGGGACCAAGATACCAAACCAGAAGGCGAAGAAGGAGCAGGAGGTGGTACAGAAGACAAGAAGAAGAAGAAAAAGAAGAAGAAGAAGGACGAGAAGGAGTCCACCCCGCCGCTGATGGCGAAGATGCGGAATCTGCGGAGTCGAAGCTCGATAAAACCAAGCCTGGGAAGAAACCCAATAAGGCTGTGAGTAATCCATTCTCCGTCTCTTTTGCGTAATACATCGCTCCCTCCGTTGTCGGCCAGATGAGATGAAGCCTCTTTCGCCGGGCCTCAAGAATTTCTCGGGCAGGCGAAAATGATAAAAATGATTTTTCTGACCACAGATACTCCAAATGCAAGAAGCTCTCCGCAAGAGATTAGAGGAAGCCAAGCGACTTGAAGAGAAAGCTCTGGAAGACGAACGACGAGCCGAAGAGGCCGAAAGATTGAGAGTGCAGAAGCTACTCGAGGAGAAAGAACGCGCGGAGTTGAAAAAACAACGGGAGAGGGAGAAGAGGGAGAAGGCGAAGGCGGAAGGAAAACTTTTGACCAAAGCTCAAAAACAAGCTCAAGCCAGAGCTCAAGCGACGCTTCAGGCGCTGAGAGAGCAGGGCGTGAACATTCCGGCCGCTGGTGGCGAAAGAGCGTCTGGGGACAAACCGAAGCGAGCTCCACTGACGAGACGCAAGAAGAAAACTCAGGAAGAAAGTCCACCGAAAGACGCAGCTGGAGAGAAGACTGCAGAAATAGAAACCGACTTGAAGGATGAACCGATTACTCCGTCAACCACCGAGAGTTTGCCGTCTGTCGCCGATGGAAAGGAAGCCGACGATTCTGAAGAGGACGTCCGGGAAGCATGGGACGCGACCAGTGAGTCGGAGGCCGAAGCACCGAGCTCGAAACCTCAGACTGAGAAGGCGGAAAGGGTGAAAACGGTGGTCGATGAGGTCAAGCCCACCCAGAAGAAAGAGGAATCTTCCGAGGAAGAAGAGGAGTTGACCGAAGAGGAGGATGAGTCATCAGAAGAGGATTCCTCCGAGGAGGAAGAGTCTTCCGATGAGGAGGACAGCCAAGACGAGGAGGCCGATAAGCATGAGCGGCTGCGGCACAAAGTTTTGGAGAGAATCCGGAAACGCAGAGAAATTAATGAGAAGAATCGCTCGACGTCGAACCTCCGGAGCCCTGTAATCTGCGTCCTCGGTCACGTCGATACCGGAAAGACCAAGATCCTTGATTATGTAGGTTCCGATGGAGGTTTTCGCTCCTCGATCGTGGAATGATGTCGCGCTGAATCTTGAAGGGTAATTATTGAAGATTCCTGATTTTCTCATTCCAGATCCGGAGGACGCACGTGCAGGACAACGAGGCTGGAGGCATCACTCAGCAAATCGGTGCCACCATGGTCCCGCTCGACGCGATTAAGGAACAGTGCAAAGCGGTCAAAGATTTTGCCAGCAAACCGCTCCGGATTCCCGGGGCTCTGATCATCGACACTCCGGGGCACGAGTCGTTTTCCAATCTTCGTTCCAGAGGATCGTCTCTCTGTGATATGGCTATTCTCGTCGTAGACATCATGCACGGCCTCGAACCTCAGACCATCGAAAGCATAAATCTCCTGAAAGCCAAACGAACTCCGTTTGTTGTCGCGTTGAACAAAATCGATCGGCTGTACGACTGGAAGTGCAACAAACATAAGGACATCGTCGACGTCTTGGCCAATCAGGCATCAAACACGAAGCAGGAGTTCGACAAACATACCGATTTAGTCATTACTCAGTTCGCCGAGCAAGGTCTGAACGCTGCCTTGTTCGACAAGAATCCCGATCCGAAGACGTTCATTTCTCTCGTTCCAACATCAGCCTTCACCGGAGATGGGATGGGAAACCTCATCTCACTCGTCATCGAGCTGACTCAAAGTAAGTCCGCGCAGGCTTCTCTCAGCTTCGTATTTTGAGCGAGAATCGGAATACCACCGCGTATCCCTCCAGAATTTCAGATTCGCCATCTGAAATCTCCGGGCTAAAAAAAATTGTTTTCCCCGCAGAGATGTTGGCTAGTCGTATCGCTTACTCAGATGAGCTCCAGGCCACCGTTTTAGAGGTGAAAGCCATCCCCGGTCTCGGGACCACCATCGACGTTATCGTGGTCAACGGAGAGCTGAAAGAGGGTGACACCATGGTCCTAGCTGGTCACGACGGACCTTTCGTGACTCAGATCCGATCGCTTCTGATGCCTCAACCACTGAGGGAACTGCGTGTGAAAAACGCCTATCAGGAGTTCAAAGCTATCAAAGGAGCCCAAGGAGTCAAGATCGCGGCCAAGGATCTGGACAAAGCCATCGCAGGTCTCAATGTTCTGGTGGCGCATAACAACGACGAGATCGAGTTCCTCAAGGAGGAAATTGCTCGTTCGTTGAAAGAAGTCATGGGCAGCTTCAAACTCCACGATAAGGGAGTTTACGTCCAAGCCTCGACTCTAGGATCTCTCGAAGCGTTGCTAGTTTTCTTAAAGGATTCGAAGATTCCGTATTTCGGCATCCGGATCGGTCCCGTAGTCAAAAAAGATGTGATCAAGGCATCTGTTATGCTGGAACACGACAGTCAGTACGCGGTGATCCTAGCCTTCGATGTCAAGGTCGAGCGAGACGCGCAAGAGTTGGCCGACCACACCGGAGTGAAAATCTTCTCAGCTGACATAATATATCACCTCTTCGACAAATTCATGGCTCACAGGTGAATGAACACTGCTGGCAATGTTTCAGTTCAAAATCACATGGGATATATTCGCTGCTCGCCGTTGGGTTTTCGAGTATCCCGAGTACCGTCAATGACCCCAGCCTTGATACATTTTTCAATTCCAGAGAGGAGCTCCGTCAGAAGAAACGAGAAGAGTTCAAGAACATTGCAATTTTCCCATGCAAATTGCGGATTCTACCCCAGCACATTTTCAAGACGAGAGATCCCATCATAGTAGGGGTTATGGTTGAAGCCGGCATTGTCAAATTAGGGACACCGATTTGTGTACCTAGCAAGGGAAACATCTGCATAGGCTCTGTCGCCAGCATACAAGTCAATCATAAACCGCAAGAGACGGCCAGGAAAGGTGAGTGTTCGCCTCGAGACGCAGGACGCATTTATGGGCAGTTGATTTATTCTCTCATCTCTCAGGCGAGAACTCGGTCAAATATCGCTCTGTTTACCTTTCAGGTGAAGAGGTCTGTATACGTATAGACAATACGACAGCCGAAGCACCGAAGCTGTACGGGAGACACTTCGAATACACAGACATGTTATGCTCGAAAATCACTCGGGAGTCCATAGACGCTTGCAAGGATTACTTTAGAACTGACTTGACGAAACAAGACTGGGCGCTGATGGTCGAGCTGAAAAAAGTTTTCCAGATTCTTTAATAATTGATCACTCCTGGATCATGCCGTCACTTATTCAGCGGGTGGGCGCAGGATTGTTTTGCGTGGTCGCTTGTGGATTGAGCTGCGCTTGTCAGGGTTCCGAAAAGAAACACCGCTCTCTCGAGCAGTGATTCCGAGGCGAGCTTCGTGTGTAGGGGATCATCTCGGTGTCTCACCATGACGAGGTCCCCACTACCGGAAGCTGCGAGCGTAAATGAGATCGAGAATGAGCCAAGTTGTAAAGAAGATGTTCGAGATATATTGGAGTCTTATTCTGAGCGTTGACTTTTTCCGAGAGAATAGGAACTCAAATCCATATTTTTCTTGGGAGAGCGAGCAAAATTTTGAGATGTCGAGGAGTCGGGACTGAATCAATAAATGTTGCATTGTCTTTGTACAGAGAGATAAAGAGTTTTCTCCATCGGGGTATCGCATCGCTGGGCGCAAATTGAATTCGGTGTATCAGCAGGGAAGCGCAACGCAGAATCCGATCCTTCAATCAGTATGCCTTTCAGGTCGATATTGTGCAGAAACGAAGAGATCTTCATGAAGGATTGAAAGCGATCTTCAAGTTCGCTGCCGGAGCCGGTGGTGCTCCCTCTCCGACAGCCGGAGGAGCTCCACCGATGCCCTGATTCTTCGCGCGAGACTTTGCGGGGAGCAACCATGGGTTCCTTGGAGCTCACAACGCTATCCCACTGGTCGTTTGATCCGATTCCATTGCTTTATTTCGATCTTCAAAATGCACGTATCTCAGAGGTGACACGTATCGCGTTCACGGACCTTAGCTTCCTCCCTCGTTCAGGGGTCGCCTCCGTTCTGCGGATGATTCCTTGCTTTATGCGAGAGTCGTCATATAATCTTACGATCCTCTCAATTTCACTTAAAAATATTGGATGGAGTGTTCGCTCCAAACATCACGATCGGATGAGTCGTATCGCGAATCTCCACGGGAGGCTTCCTGGAAAACTCCGGAATCGGCCGTAATTTCCTGAGAAGGGTCTCCCAGGGATCGGCGATCGGTAAGCATCTGCAGCTATCGGCCCGACTGTGGAGCAGAAATTCATAAGCTACACACCACCGCTTGCGTGGATGGGGGAGAGTACTGCGAGAAGATTATTCTATGTACATCAATGGTGGGGACGGACAATTTCTCCTCGTCTAGAGGAGCTCTTGCGATGATTCATACTGAATGCCTCCGGAAGCTCACAAAGGTGGTGCTCTCGATCTATACGAGAATAGAGATTACAATCCCGTAGTATATTTCACTGAGCGCCTCTTCTGGAGCACGATCGCGCGGCGAGTGTCTCCCGCCCCGATCAATCGCGATGGGATCTTGAGCTGATTGTGGCGTCCGGCAAGTTTGATGCGAGGCCCGTGGATCGTGATGTCAACATTGCAAGACAGGCGTCCTCTTTGTCGACGAGCACGGGGTGCAATGCTATCGGAAGTACTTGTCATTCTGGAGTATGCCTCGGCGAAGATACGCCAGAAGATCTCAATTCTGCCATATACTGGATGCATGGACCTTGGCAAAGCAGGGAGCAATGAAGTAATTCGTCCCAACCTCTCCACATGTCTCATCCACTCATGTCACTTCTCGGAGGCACTCTCTTGTTCAGCGCTTCAGCCACTGCAGCGGTCGTCGGCCTAATCACGCAACCAGCGAGAAGCGCGCCGTCGAAGGTTGAGGATTTGGACTGAGGCTTCAATCAGACATTCGTGGACCTGAGCGGAGTTCGGGGAGTCTATACGGTCAAGATCCCCTTATATCATCGAATTTTCTCCGCGAGTCAAGAAATGAGCCCCTACGAGGGTTGGTAGCTCATTCCTCCGGTGATCTAACAAGATGATTGATGCTAGCATATCACGATTGAGACTCCAGACGCCTAGGAGCGTATACTGGCCTGGCTGGAAACTTTTCGAGCCTCTATCCGATTATCCGGCTTCACCATATGCCTAAGAGAAGATCCGCGTACATGGCGCTCATCAGAGGATTTCGCATTGGAGTCCACCGGAGAGGGAGATCATTCGAGCAAGGAGTGTTTGGGGATCAGAGGCTGCCTCGGATGGACATGGCCTCTCGAGACGTAGACCTCAGAGCCACGGACGAGTCCCTCCACGGGAGACGCTCCTTCGGAAGGCATCCCCAGAGAACTTATGGCTAACAACACCTTCATCGGTAGTCCTATCGATTCTCGCGAAGATGCTTGACCTCCCACATGAGTGGCGGTGTGGGCTCGATCATACACGGAGATGAATTTTCTTATCGCCGCGATTATCTCTCTCGAATCTCTCTCTCAATCTGAAGCTCCCCGTGGGGCGTCATGTTTCAAGGCAGCGATTTTCTAACATCTGCGGCTGCTCCAGCTCGCAGTCTCCACTCACAGACTGCCCACAGATACCACGCCGACACATGGTGCATTGGGTCCATCTTGAAGTTGGGTAACTTCTGCAGATCCTGAAGTACAGACTTTGATCAAGATTGCTGTCAAGGGCTCATTTTCGTGGCGAGAGAGGATCTTTCCGGCGAACACCGCTCTATGAGGGTGCGAATTCGCTAGGGACTTATGGACCGGATTCTTGCCCCCGTAGAACGCAAAAGGGAAATTCCCATCGATATCTCCTCTCGGTCGTCCTCGAGGGCTTCCTCCCAGGAACTTCTAGATCTTCTCCAAGGACTCCGATGCTTATGATTCGGAAGTTCGACTTCTTCGGAGCCACTCGACGCTTTACTGCGAATGCAGAATCGTGCGCGTAGCAGGCTATCCTCCATCAATTTTGCGCGCTAGACATCGAATCGAGATGGGTCTACGTTTTGCGAGCTCGAGTTCCCGTCAGTCACGACGGAATACCATGCCCCGGAGAATTCAGCATCAAGGTCCTTCAGATCATGAGAGAATGGAAATCTCACCCGCATGTCTGAGAGTTAGTTTGGTTCGGCCGTAGCCCCTGGTATGGTGGCTCCTGAATGAGAGGATCGCCTCTTTCACTGACTTGAACCTACGAAGAACCCTCCGCGTTCGGGAGCGAAATGGACGTCCAGCCGAGCTGCTAGCCTAGAAGGGGATGATTTTTTCCTTTTGGCGGACCGCATTGCTACACAGAATACATCGTGAGCATAGAGGTCCGATCGTTCCTGAGAGTTTGAATGTGTCGAGAGTCGAGAGATGCCATTCTCGAACTCAGAGCTGGAGGGAAGTTTTCCCGGGAACGATCACGGAGAACACGCGCGTAGTGTTTGGAGGAAAAGACGTGGTTTACCTCCTCTCCAGCGTGGAAACCGTTGCGCAGCCTAATGCGACTTTCGGAAGTTTCAAGACGACTCCGAAATATCAGAGCGGAACGGTCACCGACGTCTTGAGAAAAGTCAGTTTGCTATCAGATACATCCTTGGAGCCAAACATTCCCTGGACGGCGAGTCACAGCATCCCGGTGCTCAGCATCATCATTGATCTGATTTGCTTTTCGCTGCTACAGGTCTTCGATTCGACAATTTCACAACTAACTTGCACGTTCTATCGGTCGTCTGCAGATGATTGCTCTCACTCGCACGATGTAGGAAACTTGACCGGCAAAACTTCCTAAGCGGAGAAGCACAATGTAGAGTATGTAGAGTATGGCATGAATCTCCGATTCGTGGGCGAGTGATTCTCGAATATTCGATTTCCGTGGAGTTCGGGAGAGGGCTCTTCCATTTGACGGGCACTCATTCGGGGCTATGAACAATCATCGAGCATGCCCTCCTATAAGAGGAAATACGGACGTCATCCGTGATTGCGGTTAGTGATGCCGCTCATACGATTTCATCGCAGAATCTTCTTCGACCTCAGCAGGAGCAAGACTCCGATGGTAGCTCTTCTCCTCAGACAGAGCACGTGCAGGGTCCCTCTGCATGTTCCGGGTCGGTCCCGATCCTCTGCCGATAATGATCGATCTCATTCTCACACGAAATAATCAACAGCTCCCGACGGCTAGAAGGAGACCTCAATCGCCAGTTCAAGGCTCTTATTGGTCATCTGGGCGATATTCTCTTTCCTCCAGGGGAACTCGGTCTAGGGATTTGTTCCGGCCTCTATGAACATACGCCCTGGAGAATGCTCTGCTGAGCGGGAAGTATACCGGGGGCTCCATTCGAGCCAACTCTACATCGCCAATGATTGACGTGAGGCATTCCTGTAATATTGACGTAAGGGAAGAATTCGACTTACCCGGCTGATGAATTTTCTCTCCGGTAGGAGCGAAAACAGGAACACGGCTGTGCGAGTTGTATTCTAGTTTGGAACTCGTCCCATGGCTCCTCAGATTATCCCCAGTTACGGACTCATTGCCTCGGAGATCGGTCTCTTGAGCATCGCCAGTGTGTTGAACATCGAGGATTGAGTGACGCCGCCGTCATCTTCACCATCAGCTCGTCGGTTTTGTTTCTTCCGAGGGAATGATCTCCCAAACCGGAACTCGACGCCGTGTAAGCGTGGCTACAGGACCCCAGCATGGAGCCTGGTGATGGGAGTTTTGGGTATTTCGGAATATCAGGATTATGACTCCAAAACTGACGGCATACAGCGCTCCTCTGCTGCGCTCATCCTCTTCGAATGACAAATCCTACCGAGCGAGTGAGAACTCATCCCTCATGATCTGATACGCTCGTCCGACGAAAGGAGCGTTCTACTTTTTGAGACTTCAAACTGGAACTCATCGGCGACTCAATGCTTTCTGTGGTGATCCTATCAAGAATCAAGAAACCATCATCCATCGAACCGCAAAGAGATCGATCGTATAGAAACGGTCGGACCGTAGGGAACAGGGCTATTCCATCTCACCGGGAAGCCGACCCTCCGGGGCGGGATACTTGTAAGTAAAATCGTCATTCAGGGCAATGCTCCGTAAACAGGGAGAGAGGGTCATGGCACGACGCACTGAGAACGGACATGATACCTCGGGCCATCCCGGAGCAGTCATGACTGGAATCCGCAATGACGGATCCAGTGGTAGTCGGAGAGAATATACTCCTCCCGCGTCACAAGTCACATCGGTTTATTCCATCAACATTATGGAAAAAGACGAAGAACTCGACATCGATTCAGTTTCTCTCAGAAAATACATCCCTCGCCTATCGCATCAGAGCCTCTCGGCTCGGTATATTGCAAATGATTTCTGAACTCGTCTAGCCGAGCAATGAGCTGGACGAATAGATGGACAACATTTATCTGAAATTCATCATCACAGGGTTATCTGTCCTGGCAAGTCACCTCAGAATATATTATCGAAAAGTTTCCGTGGATCGTCATATCCCTCGTGGAGCACACAGCAGACAGCACACCGTACGCTTTTTATGGAGGACAATTTTTTCCTGAGAATTATTCCAACTTGCTTCTGATCCGATTAATTTACAAGTTATAAGTCGCAGCGAGATGCATACGAACATGGAAGGAGAGCGCACCCGTTTGAATTATCATAGAGATAAACGACCCGTCCGATAATTGCATCAATATATGGAGTCGAGATCCCAACTCAGACGGCATACGTGCAACGTGAAGGGGCCACTTCATGCAGTTTTACAGTTGTGAAAGGCGAGAACCATGTTAATGAAAAACGACCGAAAACAGCTCTCAAGCTTGCCCGAGCCGATTGTCGTCGCCAGCGGACGGCTTCCTTCTTCAACTGCTCTATACCCGTCTCGTCTTTTATAATCGCTTGAATTTGAGTGAAGAACATGACCATTGTGAAGATCGAGAAGAGCAAAGCCTCGAATATCAGAAGAATCAACAGAACCATGATCGAAGCTGGTGCGGCTTGTTGAGAACAGAGACGAAATTCTTCGTTGATGCAACCCACTAGATGTTTCACAGCGAGAAACAAGGAATGGCTCGACACTAGAGCAATGTACATTGTGAACAATACAAAAAATTTTTGGTTATTCTCCCCGATGCAATTGTTGACCCAGGGGCAATGATGGTCCATTTTACGGATGCAGCGATTGCAAACCGAACAATGATGAGCTCGCTCCGGTTTGATGCAGCAACATTTCGGACACTTGTAGACGACTTGATTCTCACGGAGCCCTAAACTGTCCACGGCCTCCTTGGTCGCGGTTCCTTGTGGCACCACCCCGGGATCGGTGACCATCGTGCGGATGTGCGACGTACACGCCAAGAAGCAGAGAGTTTCGAACACGATCAAGTTGACAGCGCCGAAAAACGTGTCGAAAACTGGTGCCAGGATGATTATCAGAACGACAGCTTGAGCGAACATTATCAGCAACCAAGTCATCACGGCACACATGATGCCGCAAATATCCCGGACGAACCATATCTGACCGAATCGTGGGTGATTAATGTAGGCCATTCCCCCCAGAGACGAAGAATTCCGGGGGTTGTTTCGGCTCCGGCAATCCAGTTTGCCGTTTTTCGAACTTCACATTCCTCCAATGGTGTATTTTCCCAAGCTGACGTTTCGGATATCTTCCTGTCTCCAGCGAATTCTTTTCCAGGATGACCACTTTTTAGAGGATCGGTGAATTTGCAGAAATGGCAAGCGGTGGGCAGTTCACCAGGATTTGTTGACACCAGGTTTCTGCAGTCGCCGCCGTCGCTGGTGTGTCGCACTACTACTTCGAAAACATCAACAAGAAGAACCGGACTCAGCTGTTGGAACTGTAGTCACGGGGAAAAGTTCCGGGTCCCGATTCAAGACTGACTCGCTAAGGAAGGGGACACATGCATTGATAGGAGCAGTCAATGTTGTTCCATTGGGTACATTTCGAGGTACGGGGACGATCGCCCCAGGAGGAGGAGAAGGCCAACGCCGGGAGAAAAATAATGATGATGCTGATGATGATTTGTACTGAAGATCGTGACCACCTCGGGCGGTATGCACCGACCTCACCGGAATCCAATTTTCGAGCACTAGTGCCTTGCATCCACGACTCCTCAGCGAGCTCCTCAGGATCAAAGTCAAGGTGGGCTCGTTTCAATCGAGCTGGGGAAAATTCGCAGGCCCCTGAGCCGACGAAATTTCGGCTGTTCTCTGAGAGCTCTGATTTCTCCCCGGAAGTGCAACGCCTTGGAAGCGGGAACCTATGTACGTGAGGGGGATCCATGATACTAAGGACAGATACTTGAGACAGCAGAGAACGAGTCCAGTATGCGTGGCCGAAGGAAAGCAATCGCGCATTGCACGAAATCAGGTTGGCGCTTTCGGCCGAATGTCCGCCTGGGGCTCTTTTGAGGGAACAGCGTGAGCTGAAATGATTCGCAGTTTCAACATGCATAGGGCTCTCGATCCTGAAATTCCGGATGCATTTTCCGGATCTGCGGTAGAGCACGGTAGTGGGCAAGAGGGAGCGGTATCTCGAGCCCTGGAACTCCGAGGTGTCGCGGAGGTCTGGAGAACGTGGAAACGAAGAGGCGGACGGACGTTCTGGAAAACGAACCGAATGCACCAGCTCAGATTCCATGATGAATTAGGGGAACGCGCGGATCGGCAGTCGAAGGGAGCCGGTCGACTGACCAACCCCCGCGATTAGATGTGGATGGGATGCCTCCACTCTTCTCCTCCTCTTGCGCCCACCGGCTGCCTCCGGCGCGTACGTATCGTCTGCTTTTCGCCCACTCGGAGGTCTATAGCATCAGCTGACGCCGGGTCGAAGTTCGGTGAACAGCACTTCGAGTCTACGTTCCCATGAAATCCGATATTGTTCCGGTTTGGAGCGAATGTAGCCAAGCCTCGAAGTCTCTCGGAGCGCCAAAACACCGTCCTCGAAGAAGTACCAGCATACGCCAGCGGACAGCTTCGTGAATCACCGAATCAACACACACGACATTGAACGATCTCTCAGCCGAGAGATCGCGGTTCCATCTCTCATGCATTAGAGATGGAACAGGGATTTACTCCATAACGCCATTGAGCATTTCTGCTCTCCTCCTGACGTCCAGGTTGATACGGGCGCCACCGGCATTGTGGTGTGATTCGGAACTCCCTTTCCACGCATTTACACCGATAGCGTCTCGCCGGTCGGAAGGAGCGCGTCGCTCCGCCGAAAGAGAAGGAGACGACGACGTCGTCGTCGGCGGTTTCTTGCGCCTGCTTCAGCCGGGAGAGAAGACGACTTTGGATGAAGCTGTTGTGTCTAGCGAGAACTGGTGTAGTTTGTCTTCGCTGAAGTTTTCCTCCTTCACAACACTCTTTGGTGCTCATACTTCACTTTTTCGTGAGTCTAACAACATGGCACCTACACTGAGCAAGCAGCTGTTGCAGAATCTTTCGGGTTTGGAGAAACCAGCCGCAGTGGCAGCGATTGCGACAGGCATCTACATTTACTCCTACTCGAGGTTTTTGCGGAAGCAAAAAGCATCCCAAGACCGCGACGTCGTCGAGGTGGTGTTTGACAAGAAGGAAACCAAAAAGCAGAAAGCCTACGTAGATGGACGTTTCCTCAAGCAGCTCGGTGAGCTATTCCGAATTGTGTGTCCTGGAATACTGTCCGCCGAGTTCGGGTACATGGCGATGGTCGCCCTGACGTTGGTTGGACGGACATCGTGTGACATTTGGATGATAAACAACGGAACTGTGATCGAGAGAGCAATCATCTCCAGGAACTTCACTTTGTTTAGACAAAAGTTATTCGAGTTTATCCTCGCGATGCCGACGCTATCCCTCATAAACAACCTCATGAAATACGGACTCAACGAAATCAACCTTCGTTTCCGAACTCGTCTTTCGCATCATCTCTATAAACAATATCTCGGTGGAACGACTTACTACAAAATGTGCAATCTCGATAACCGCATTTCGAATCCGGATCACTTGCTCACAAAGGACGTCGAGAAGTTCTGCTCGTCTTTGACAGACCTCTACTCGAACCTCAGCAAACCGGTGCTAGACATCGCTCTCTATGTGCGCTGGCTATCGGTCTCCATCGGGGCCGAAGCTCCAGGATTCATGCTGCTCTACCTGTTGTTCGCTGGGTTCCTGCTGACGAATATGCGACGTCCCGTGGGCAAGCTCACAATGGACGAGCAGAAACTCGAAGGAGAACTGCATTACGTCCATTCGAGGCTTATCACGAATTCCGAGGAAATCGCTTTCTATAGCGGGAACAAAAAAGAGAAGAAAACCATCGATTCCACGTTCCATCGGCTGACGAATCATCTCCGTACGTTCCTCGAGTACCGTTTCACACTCGGAATGGTTGACGACATCGTCGCAAAATACCTGGCCACGGTCGTGGGCTATCTCCTGATATCTCGACCGTTCCTAGGGAACAAGCACATCAAACTGAACCACAATATGCGATTGGAGGAATATTATAAGAGCGGTCGCATGCTTGTCAAGCTCGCTGAAGCCATCGGACGGGTAGTTTTGGCTGGACGCGAAATGACACGACTCGCTGGGTACACGGCTCGCGTATCCGAACTGAACAAAGTTCTCAAGGATGTCACCAGAGGACAATACGTCCGCGGAATGGTCAGGGACGAGCGAGAGCAGTCTGCGAAGAGACTCGAGCTCATTCCCGGCAAGGGGCGGATCATCACCCAAGACAACATAATCAGATTTACGATGGTTCCGCTCGTGACCCCGAACGGGGATCTACTTATCGAGAACTTGTCGTTCGAAGTCAAGGCGGGAAGGAATGTCTTGGTCTGCGGTCCGAACGGATGCGGCAAGAGCTCCTTATTCCGGATTTTAGGGGAATTGTGGCCGATATTCGGTGGTGCCGTTGTGAAACCATCCAAGGATAAGTTATTCTATGTGCCCCAAAAACCATACATGACCCTGGGAACGTTGCGAGACCAAGTGATTTATCCCGACAGCAAAGAGGATATGGAAAAGAAAGGTTTTACCGACGACATGTTAGGGAAACTCTTGGATGAGGTGCAATTGAGATACTTGCTGGAACGCGAGGGAGGCTGGGATTCGGTACAGGATTGGCTGGATATTTTGTCTGGCGGCGAAAAGCAGCGGATCGCGATGGCTAGACTCTTCTATAAGAAACCCCAATTCGCCATCTTGGACGAATGTACCAGCGCCGTTTCGGTCGATGTCGAAGGTGCGATGTACAGCTACTGCAGAGCAGTTGGAATCACGCTGTTCACGGTTTCGCACCGTAAGTCTCTTTGGAAGTACCATGACTATTGCCTGAAGATGGATGGCCGTGGAGGATACCAGTTCGACGAAATCACCCCCAACACTGCGGAGTTCGGATCTTGAGCGCACCTTTCAGAGCATTCTCCAATTTTATGACTGGGTACTTAAGGACGGCCTGGAGGTGACGGGAGTGGGGCTCAAGGCATCGTCTTTCATGATCGGCGACCGACGATCACAAAAGTGAACAAACATGTATCTCATACCCTGTATTAATATAAAACCGAGCCGTTTCTCTTCGGATGCATATGCTAATCATTCATCAAGAACAGGTCGCTTCGCAGAGTCAAGGAACTTCTAAATAAGGCCTGATCCTGAAAGTTTCACTGCACGCTTCAACACAAAGCCAACCCGCCGCTGGAGTCAGCGGGTCAGGGAAGAAGACGGCAGGGTCAGCAGAGGAATTCTGACTAACGAAATTATCCTTCCTCATGGTTAGCTGAATGAGAAGAAGCTCGCAGCTATTAGTAAGCTGCCACTGAAAATATCACGGGAGAAGTCTATGTTGAGAAGACATCAATTGAACATTCCGGCGTACAATGCTTTCGAACAAGTGAAAAACCGAGGCGCTCGATCTCATCCGCGGCGAAGGTTTGCCGAGTATCCTGCACCCCTAACTTTGAAACCTCGATCAGAGGTAAGAAAGCGTCGAATCGAGAATGACAGAATCAGTCAGTCCGATCGAAAATGCAGCCGAGGTGTTCTCCGTGTCAGAGTAACGCTCATCACCAGATTCACGCTCGGAGATCTCCAAATTCATCTTCCGAGGAGGCTCCGCGTGGAGCTCGATTGGGATCTTCCGGCGTGTAATCGCGTCGAGTACCGGAGTGAGATTCGCCGGAATATTGATGGAACTCTCACCTGGATATAAGTCTGTTGGGAGAGAGCCTCTGGAGAGTTTAGGAGTCAGCGCGATTCAGATACTTGGACGGTCATCAAATTCAAAAGTGTCCAGATGACTTCTCAACGTTCGTGGAATCGCATTTCCCCGAACCAACACCACACACAGAGAAACTGAAGCCGGTTGTTGAGAAGGAGGAAAAACTCGAAAACGATTACCCTTCCACGACCACGGGATTTGTATATTTTTCTTCAGACACTGAACTTCGATCAATACGCTCACCATTATCTCAATTAGAACCAATGAACGGCTATTCCCTCCTCATTGATTGTCCGGGTCGATCGGAGTTGCCGGCCGATCGGCACGTTTTCCTCGACAGTTAGAACGTTGGCGCTAAACGGTCGTAAGGCCGAGCCCTGTTCATGACGTTTGCGATGGCAAGAAGAAGGAACATGAACCGTCGTAGCATCCAATTAGCTCCGCCAACAATGAAATTCGGAGGCGATGACGCTGTTTTCCTGACCTCGGTGTGAAGCAGATATTGATGGAGATGACTAACTTCCCGTACTCCACCGGCGACTCTTTCTCAATTTCGTTCAATAACGATGACAGCGAGTTGAGCTGGAAGCGCATGGCGACCGATGCTCGCTTTATCTCGGTTCAATGTCAACCCAACTTCCTGCTAGAATGGAGTCCCATTTCGCTCCCAGACACACGGGGCCAGGGGATTCGCGGCTGAGCATACGAAGACAACAAAGGTGGATTATTGCGATCAGGCGCAGTAGTTCTTTACATTTCCAGGAGCCGCAACACAGGGTCGGAATAAATATATCGAGAGTCGCCCTCCGAGAATCACTACTGATAGTCGCAGATATGGTAGTCGTGTTTCGTGACGGCTCGTTTCTTCCGACAGAAAGCTACGAGGAGGATTATGATGAAGATGACGAAGAACAGGAGCGAGATGATACCAAGGACGCCATAGATGCTGAAGCTTACTGAAAGTTATCACACGATTGACTTAGCCTCGAATCTTCGACCCTTATTCGATAGCAATTTTCGACACTCGATCCCTCCCTGTGAGAGAAACTCGGTCGAACCCCGTTACAACAAAACCCAGTCAGCACAACACGGATACAACTCAGTATGACGAACTCTTTCCGGGAGCGTTTCCCGCCGGAGCTCCTTAGCGGCGCAGCTGAATGACTGTAATTCTGATTGTGACGAAATTCCATGACGGAGGCCGAAATTCGCCGTCCGCGGAAGGTTCGTTGTAATGAGGTTCTACCGCCTGGGGCTCTTCGGAGAATATGACTAGGGCGGGAGACTCACGACAAACTCTTTCGTCTTCGCCGTCGCTGCAGTCTTCGATGCCGTCGCACCAAAGTTCTTGACTGATGCACATTTGATCCTGCTTGCAATAGAATTCCTGATTTTCCGGACAGATTGTGATTTCGTTCTTAGAAACTGTCGGTGGAGCCTTCAGAAAATCCAGCGGCTTATCGTAGATCCCTGATTCATGAACAAAGGGGCACTTGAGTTCCCCGCATTTATATGCCACGACTTCTGTGCCTAGTTCCGGGATACAAGCGTATGGTGCGGGACTTACGTCGGGCTGCGAATACACGGACTTTGATTCGGTATCGGTGATCGAAGAAACTTCCCCGATGATACTTAATTGACGTGTGATTCTCTTGAGGAGAAAAAGTTATCCTTTCATCGTCGCGGAGTTGTTCATACCGACCGCAAATCCGTCGGTTGTTGATCTGAGGAACAATCCCGAGTAGGATACAGCGGTCGTTATCGATTGTCACATCTGCCGTCTAAGGAATCACAGAAGTTCCTAACAAGGGACGGTCATACTCACGGTGAGGTGCTCAGTTGTACAGGGTATGCTTCCGAAATTGAAATCCGCGATGCGCACCACCAACATATTCGCGTCACCAGTCATGTTGAAGGGAAAATGAAAAGCTACGCTGCGCTGGTACTCGTAAAGAACACGCCACGCAGTCTGGGTGAGGTATATCGTGGCATAATTGTTCACGTCTATGCAGTGTGTTATCGAATCGGGGGGTCCATGGTTCTCTAGATAATCTTGAAGAAAATCCCGAGGGAATCAATGACGGAAGTGAATACCGAATGGTAGCTCCAGCGCGGATTAAAATGACCGGCAAACTTACATATGTGTTCCTTAGCCAAGATTGGCGAACTAAGACTGAGAATGAAAAGTTCCAGCAGCATCTCTGACCCAAGCAGCACCAGCCACTGCACTATACGCTGCCGTACGATAGGACAGTTCTTTTTTCGAATGCGTCATGATCGATTCTTTCTCCCGGATCACCTCTCTCTTTCGTAGTATCAATCACATCACTCTAGTGCAGTGAAGAATGAAGAACGGAGACCGTGACGGAGCGTGACACTGACTCCTCCGCTGATGACACATCTCAGGAGCCAATTGATACAACTTGGCGAGACAAGTAAAAAATGGAAAAAAACGAATACCATTGGAGTAGATGCCTTCTCGTCACTTTCGTCACCGCCGTCAGCAACGACCTAGCACGGAATCATGGCGAAAAAACGCCGCAGCCATCCCGGCCCTCAATCGTTCGTCCCCGGAGTGAGGAATGCGTCATTCATGGGTTCACTAATGCCCCTGAGCACCATGGAGCGAGACCTTTGATTTTTTCCAACCTCTCCCTTCTTGTTTCTTTTTCGTTCTACCCCTTATAAGTCGATGGAGCTCGACACGCTGCGGAAAACCCGCTACCCGCTCGTATCTTCCGACTCGGAAGGTTTGACGAGCTCAACGAAGAACGTGTCGGGAGCGTACGGAAGGGCTCTCAAGAAAGGAATCCGCTCAGATTTTTGCATTCTCACGAAACAGCTTTATAATAATTTACATGCTCCGTATCTCGGAATTAATCGATCGATACCGAGAACTCAATGATCGGGAGGACTCTCCCGCTTCAATAAGATCGTCTCACGATAGTGTTTACAACTCGTAGCGGACAATTTCCTTTATCGTATCTCACCGGACCCGTTTCTTCGCGACGGGCACGATCACGGTACTCTCGTTTGAGGCCACTGACCGTCCATGCACGCATTCATCTAACTATACATCCAATTACCCGCCATCGGGGTCTGACGATAGAGCTCCGTGGAAACCTCGCTACCACTCATTAAGATCCTCGAGTCTGTGAGAACTCCATATTTACAAAAGTCGTACAGTCCCCCATAGCAGGAGACTCGACGTCCTTATTCGATTAGTGCGCCGGCAGCAGGATCTGTTTGGGGCTCAGGGAGAAAGGAGCCATTCTCTTGTTCACACTGGTGCTGAATAAAAAGCTGTGGATTGTTGTGAAAATCTCTGAAACTCTTTACAGTATCTCCCGGACACAATGCGGGATTTCAAAAAATCACAGCGGTCGAACTCCCGGTCAATGTTGTCTATGAAGATCCTGTTGTTGCTGCTGTTGATGATGTTGCTGCTGTTGTTGCTGCTGCTGTTGTTGCTGTAGCAGAAGCCTCCGAGGATCCTGCTGCTGCTGTTGCTGCTGCTGCTGGTAATATTGTCTCTGCTGATGGGCGGAGTACATTCCCGAGTGCGCTCCCCACGAGTAACGGTTCTGAATGTGAAAGATCATGGGGATTAGATTCGGGCATTACCCCCCACCTGGGATGGGAATGTTGCTCATTTCGAGCAAAGGACCGAGAGTAGAAATCTCAGGACCCCTCCTCACCGAAGTTGAAGTCAGAGGAGTCGAGTGAGCGACCTGTGGCACTTGTGGACTCTGTGGTTGGTACGCCGAAGCAGCCGCTGAAGAGGTATAGTACGAAGGAACTGACGAAGACGATGACATAGGGGAGGGGAAGCCTTTCATACCCTCGAGATTAGCGGTACTCCTGGAAGGTTCAATTCATCTCTCTAGATGTCTCTCTTCATACTCTACAACCTTGGTCTCAGCATCGATTGTACTGACCTTTGATGTTGCTGCTGTTGACTATGCAGATGTTGCAACATTTGTGCATTAGAGACCATTGACGAATGTTGTTGGCTTTGGGTATAAGACATCTTTTGCTCACGACTCTTGGGTTGTTGAGGTTGTTGTTGCAAAGCTTCGTATATGTTGTAGGAAGACGGCATCGTGGCTCGAGGTAGTTGCGTAGTTTTCTTCTGGTGCTGTTGTTGTTGTTGTAGAGGCTGCTGCGACGGTTGCGAATGATTTTGGTTGGACGACCTGTGCGTCGATGTGGGAGACAGCATCGAGTTCGATTGATACGAAGAGGTTGGCTGGTTGTAAGCACTTTGGCTGACTGAATTTACGCTGTTGCCTGGAGAAGCAGAAGTTCAGTTGGGGGTTAATCATTGACTCGTATCATCAATCGAATGAGCACATTCCTTGAGAAGGGATGCTGACTCCTTCGCATGAACCAATTCCCGTCTGATAACGTGACTGAAGTATGCGTAGAAAATCCTCGGAATGGAATATATTCTCACCTAGATGCTGTGTGATGATTCGATCAAAAACGTCTGCTGCCAGGAGTGGTTCCTTCTCTCTAGAGTTCTGACTTTGTGAGGTCTGAGATCCGAAATAACTCGCCGCCGAATGCGACGATGTCTGGTGGTAAGCAGAACTCTGGTGAGCTGGTTGCAACTGGGCTGCTTGTGATGACGCGTATTTCTGCTGATACGATGTGGTGGGGGCTATCGAATTCACTGGCGACGAAAACTGGGATGACGAGTGGGTAGTCGCGTTCGATGACGTCTGATGGCTTGAGGACTTGTGCGCGCTCTGGGAGAAGTTCACCACGCTCGTCGTCGGAGTTGCTTTCTGTGCAAACTGGGGGGATAACGGTCTCCATTAGTGGCTATGCCCCCTCGAGGCCAACGGGTCGCTTTGAAATCCATGGTCTACGACATTCACTGAAAAAGTTCTGCGGAAAATACCTCGGCGAAAGCCTGAGCTTGCAGAGCAGAAGCCGTGTAGGGCGGACTTTTTTGCAAGGCGGCCTGGTAATTGGCTTTGAGCAAAGGAGTCGCCGAATGTTTCTTGCTCGCAGACGACGGCGTTGGGGTGGTCACGAAAGAATCGCCGAAGACCGGGGTCTCGACCTGAGGTAGTGAGCTAGGTGTTGAGGCATGGTACTGCTTCGCAGGTGGAGACGTTATCACACTTAGATGCACCGGCGCTTCCGCTGGTTCCTGAGGTGGGGGTGTCGGGACGCGTTCTTCTTTCAGGACGTTCAGCGAACTAGTTTCTGTTGGAATAGAGACCGGATGTGAAGTAGAGTCTGCGGTGGGGGTGGTAGAGGAGAGGGAGAACGAATAGTTTGGAGCCAGTGATCGAAGAAGACTAGACCGAACACTCACCAGAAATGACCGATTGCATCGCCGGTCCTGAGTCCCTGGGTTCTCTGAACGAGCTGATTGGTGTGCACGGCGATTCCTGCTTTGCTTTCTCCTTTATAACGGACGTCGCAGGAGTTGGGGGCGTCTTCTCGATCTGGAAGGAGATGCATGGAACGTAAGTGATCGTCTAGACTGGATGAGTGCGAGACTGTTTCCAAAAGTAGGTCGGAGTGGCATCTGAGAGAGTGATGTCATCGACGCTCGAAGAAGAAGATGACGGAAAACTTGTGATGCGAGAATCCCAGAAATCCAATCAGCGGGTCGCCCTGTCAATGCGATCGCGGGTTTCCGAAAGCAGGCGGTGGAGACGACTCACTCCATTCCTAGTCTTCAACTCACCCAGGATTCAGCACGGCATGAGAATTTCTTTCGAAATTTCCCTCAGAAAAAAAATCCTCGATCATACCCAGACTGTATTAATCGTTAAAGGGGAGCAGACTTCATTTCATATCTTTCGTACATATTGCCAGAAATTGCAGGGAGTTTTCTGCGAGTCATATGATGACTAATCAAATCTTGAAGCAGATTTCTTCGTCGCATCTTAATGGCAGTGGACATCGCAAGGTCCTGAAATCCCCCCTCCGCAGAACAAGGGCGATTCTTTGTTTCTTCATTAATCGGACAAATCTTGTTGCAATCCATCATTGATTAGGGTGGGTGAAATATCAAGCGAGGGTCCGGCCTGCGAATAGATTCATGAGGGATGGACATCGAAAGAAGAGCAGGAATCACTGATCCAACGCTGTCCGCATGAGGAGAACGCTCGGAGCGGTGAGGTTCTTGCTCCCTCCGAGCTAGGTCCAGTGGAACTGTACTCACCGTGAAACTGTCTTTGAACGAGGAGTCCTTCAGCGGAATTTCGACAGAAGACAAAGAATTCAATCTCGGTCTGTACGGGGTGCTCTGCGGTGTGGAAGCTGCCGAGGCCGCCGTTGAAGTCGGCGTCTCATTCAGGTTTGCCGAACTCAGATTCTGCAGCTGGCCAAGTTTCTTCACTTGCGCGGGTGTGCCATCATTGCGAACTCGAGGTAAAAGATTGTCTTCTCGGACCATTCGAAGCAGAATTCGAGAGCTCATCCATCCTCGTGGCCAAAGTTTTACCATCTACCGGGGGAGCAATTGCGAATGTATCCCGTGTCACGACGGAAATCCGGCGGGGAAGTATAACGGTACATTTGCTCGTCAGAAAGATAACTTACGTCTATGTCGAAAAAGTTCTTCACATAATCCTCAGCTGAAGTAGCCCGGAGTTTCGAGACCTCGTACGTCTTCAGTTTCAGCAGAACGACCTCGCGGAACAATTTCCTAAGATTGTCAGTCCATTCAAACACTCTGTGAATTTGAATATCATCCTCGCCCTCGGAGTCTGATATTCCGCAGGGTTTCTGACCAACTTCATCACACTCCCGACGGTATTTATCAACCTGGTCGTACACCATCTGGTTCAGCTCGTTTTTGAACCTGGAATGTAAGATACTTAGATGTGTTCAGAGCAATCGCTCCTGATTCTCTTTTCTGGTTTCGGGGTGGAGCTTCGGTAGAACGGAGAATCAAGCTCCGAACGGCCTCGTATGAGCTATTCCGCAGAAATGGATTCGAGGAATGGAAAGTTCCAGGGAGATTCCACCGGGATATATAGGCGAATAGCATTCCCTCATGACTAGGTGCTCTCCATGCATTGAGCTCCAGCGAATTCACTAACCTGGTCATTGGTTCTTTGACCTTGCTATCCTCTTCATCAAGACGGAGCTTTTTAACCTTCTTTAACAACGTTTCTTTGCTACAGGGTAAATGCGCTGCCAGATAGCAGTACAATTGCGTTCTCTGGGAACAGGGCAGAGACTGACGAGCCATCATATCAATCGATAACAATCGTTCACTGACACCTGAGGACAGAATAGAAGAACTCAGGAATGCTCTGTTGGTCGTTCCACCGTGTGCATGTATCGGAATCAAAGCATGTCGTACTTACCATTAGCCAGGAAGAACTTGCTCTTTCCTAAGCCTTCTTTGGCAACTTTAGTGATGTCCTTCACCATCGCTTCGAGCTCGCTAGGCATCCTGTCGGGCAGCCGCATGCTCCCAGGCTCCGAGTTTTCGAATTTGAGGTCGCTTTTCTCTCGTTCCTTCTCAGCAAGTTTCTGCTTGTCTCGCTCGATTCGTTCCGACTTCTCCTTCTCCTTCCGTTTTCGTTCGTTCTCACGCTCTTCTCTCTCCATTTCCTCTTCCTGAAGTCGCAGGACTTCGGTCTCTTCCTGCAATTTTGCTCCGGCTTGTAAAGAGTCGCCCTGCGCAGTCAAAGCTCCGACTTCCCTCCGGGAATCGATTTAGCCGTGAACGTTTCTCCTGGAGAACACATATAGAGAGATCGCACCGGACCCACCTCTTCAACTTCCTTCTTGTTGAGAGCTCGCGCGTGTCGGACCACGGCTTCGATGGCGTCATCTAGTTGGCGTTCTTGCTTCACGCTTAGCTTTTCTTTCTTTTCAAGCTCCTTCTTATCCACTTCTCTCTGGTCTTTTTCTTCCTCTTCCTCTTCGGAACTGCTCTCGATCTTCCTGACCTTCTTCTTCATCAACTTTCTCCGTTTCTCACCCGAGCCTTGGTCCTTGTCTTTACTGTCGTCGGATTCGATCTTCTTGCGCTTTTTCTTCATTCTGATTTTCTCTGCTTTCGAAGGTTTAGGAGATGGCTCCCTCTCGCTCTCTGGAATTCAGAATCAAGTCCATGATGGAGCTCTCATCCGACGATGAATTCTCATACGAGACACACGAGAATGATCCTGGCAGTAGGGCCTGACTGAGAACAAACCTTCTTCGCTCTCTTCATCAGGCGAGTCCTCGAGAGTGGCTTTCGTCTTGTTCACATCGTTCTGGTGGTATTGCATGTACTGCACGGGCGGTGCATGAACGAACTCGAGATCTCCGGTATTGATGTAGAAGCCGCCATATTTGGTGTTGAGGTCGAGAGGTACCAACTCATCGTAGGCTTCCCTGTTATCGATAAAGGAATCGTCCTCATCGTACCTGGAATTTCGCAAAGGTCAATCCAGTGGAGTTCCAGAAGCAGTCGGAAGAGCCTATGGCTCAACTCCCTTTTCCTTATATATTCCAGCAGAGCTGGGAGACGAATCATTGCACTGACCCTTGACCCTTGTCGACGTCATCGTCCCAGGCCACTTTCCCAGATCCGTACTTCTCTTCCATTTGCTTGGCGATAGCCGCCACATCATCGTCGGAATCAAAAGGATCGTCCGTTTCCTGGGTCACCTCCGTCTTTCCCCTCTGAAAGAAACGAGAGCACGGATGCAGGCTATTTTATGCATTCTCTGGAATTCCCTGGAAGTTTTTCTGTCCTGTATACAGAAGCCGAAGGGATAGTTGAGTTCGCTTTTCGTTCTGGATTTGAAGAATACGGAGGATCGCCGCTTCTCGTGGAATACGGAGAGGCAGACTAAGATTTCGACCGCTTGATTAATGATTATCCTCGCCAAGAACACGTGCGCATCGATGGAGTGTGTGATAGGGTATTGCGTAGAGTCCGTCCGATCAGATTCGATCGAGTGAGTCACGTGAGCGGAGCTTCTCGCTCACCAGAAACAAAACAAGCTTCCCGACGTCGAATGCAGAAAGAACTTGGACGAGACTTGGAAGGGATCCGTCATGCGGGTCCTACTTTATTCGAGAGGAGCAGCAACAACTTTCTCAACGCTTGGGCAATGGACCGTTTCGCAAATCTTGAAATACACAAGCCTCGGAATCGTGGAAAAGAAAATTGAATGCCTGATGCCGCGGCGGATTAATTATCGAAGACTCGAGCTATCGCGATGAGTTTCACCGAGCCGAGAGGGCCTCGGTGGCGGCAGTTTCTTCACTGGGGGCCGCAGTCGAGCCGAAGGGCAAGTCGTCCGGAACGCAAACCCCGGCTGAGCATTTTCCAATCAAGGAATGCCGGCTCCCGTAAACAGCCACGGATTTGCTCTCTCTAGCGGAGATCCTGCACTTGGCTCCGTCAACGACGCTGCTCTTGAGCACGCGAACATCACTCCGGATCTCCACTTGACCCAAATAACCGACGATTTGGCAGGCGATTTTACAATCGTCGTCCGAGACACTGGTCACGGCGGACGGGTTCGCAATCGGGGTCTCGTAGTCTTCACAGCGCGAGGCGCTCCTCGATTCTTTCGAGGGCAGTGATATCCTGAGGTTCGAAATTTCTATACCGCCTTCCTTAACGCTCCGCCCGCTATAGGGGACGTGTTGACGGAGATCTTTCTGGAACGGGGTATCTCGGTATTCGGCCATATCTATCGGGATGCAGTCGCAGCGGTCGTTGCATCGGCCCAAGCTGTACGTGACGTTGAAACCGGTGAGACGGGATTCGACCGCGATACGACAGTAGCGTCCCTTCGAACGACACGCAGCCACGGCTTTGCGTGGTCTCTGATCCGAAACTTGGACTTTGCCAAAAGTTCCATCCATCTGACAGATTAAAGCACATCCCACGTCTCCGGATAGCTCGAGTTCACGCTCGTAGTATTCACATCTGTGCTGATTCCTCGAGTTCTGCTCGGGCACCGATATCTCGATTCGGCCTTCGAGGCCCACACACTTTATGAGGAGAATCGCTGTTAGTACGATCCACATTGCAAATGATGCTTCGAATGCACTGTCGGAGGCATCCTTGAAGCGCCTCCACCGAGGGCGCACGCATGTTCAGTCAGCCTTTTCCAACTTTGTGACCAATGCCAACAACTTTCATCCTTTCAATGCAGCTCGCTTACGTTGAAACTCAAGCAGAGACAGAATTTATGTGTTTTTCGAGGAGAGACCCGCAAGCCCCTACTCGAGTGACGGCGATTCCGCGTCCCCGCGGCCGACAGGCGTCGTCCATCCGGGAATCGTCGTCGTCTTCCTCATGAAGCTCTATCGTCGAGCACCTCCCTATCGAGAGACCAGCGATTTTTTTCGGCATCGTTCCCGAAGAATTCGATGCTCCAACGAAGCGTCTGATTCAGAGTCAAACGGAGGCAGAGCGAAGGGATCATCCGCTGGTTTCAGAATTCGTAATCTTTAAACAGCTCACCTTGAAATTCCGCACGAGCTCGATGTAGTTGAATTCGTGGCACTCGCCGTCTGCGGGATTGCCCAGGTCGAGGTTGAAGCGCATTGTGAGTTTTTTCTTCTTCTTGTTCCCCGGCTTCGCTGTCCCTGGAGGGTCTCCCATCCCAAACCTATCGGTATGAGAGGCCGGTGTCAGCGAAACCCTTCGAAGCTCCGACATAGCTGAAGCCTTCTTCACTCGGGGCTCATCACGCTACTGTCGGCGGAATCAATGAGTCTACCACAAGCCTCGCGTAGAGGGTCGAACTTCCACCAACAAAGTTCTCTCTCTATACCACTGTAATAGTATAAGGTGGTGTTTTTCGAACACTTTTTGTTTGTTGACATCGCTGAATCCTCCTCGCGAGAGGAAGCTCGTTGTGGCAGCTGAGTGTCGATGGCGCCAAACTTTGAAAATTCGGCAGAAGAGAGCAAGTTTCTCTGCTAGCGGCCGCCGACGTAATGCCTATGAATCATGGAGGCTAGCTGAGCGCAGGTATCTGTCCACTCGATGAGAAAGCTCTCGAGGCCTGCTCGGCATCGAAAACGTCCAGTTCCTTCCCGGGCAGTGCAGAGGCATTCTGTGAGCGCGAGCAGGTGAGCCGATTCGATCCGGATTCCCGATGAAAGGACTTTCGTTTTCAAATCATCCTGGTCTCAGGATGTAATCGGAATCGAGACCGGACACCCTGAGCGATGCTTCTTCGGAATATATCTCGCTGACCTGATAACTGCTCTGGTCAGACTCCCAGTATTCATGATCTTGTCGAAAGCAAAGGCAGTTATGCTGTCAGCTCGGGATCCATGAAGGGGAACAATCTCGCGTAGCCTATTCGATACTTTCGGATCACAATTTATTCCGATAAATTCTGTAGCAACGACAATGAATGACGCGTTATGATTTGGACTCGAGGGAGGACGAATGAAGGACGTCGAACCAGAATACCCATCTGTGACGCAGAGCTACAAGTTGTCATTCGCGGATCGGAATTTCTATTTCTGAGATTTTTTTAGTGCTGTCTGGTGCCTATGGATGTTCAGCAATCCTCGTCGTATTGCGAGAGCCGGACTAGATGGAAATTCCGGGAGTTGGAGACTGTAAGGAGCCCAGAGGTCAACTCCGCCCTGGAGTGTGTAGAGCGCACAACTTTACAGTTTGGAAAGCATCCATAGGACGATAGTTGGAGGTTGGAGTATCCTCAAGTCCCGGATTTGAGATTCCTGAATTATCAACATGGCAAATTTTTCCTTCTGTACCGCAGTTTCCGGAAAGCATCGCTGAGCCTTCGAAGAGGATCATGGGCGAGCATATGTTCCAAACCGAAGCTCATGCGGAGCTCTACTCCGAATTTCGACCAGCACCGCCGGTGGAACTCCTGAAAATCGTGGTCTCTGTGTGTCGGAATACCGACAAGCTCTTGGACGTGGGATGCGGTACCGGCCAGAGCACAGAACCTATGACCGAGTTTTTCGGTCACGTTATCGGCACTGACAATTCGGAGGCTCAGATCGCTCAGGCGAAGAGGAGACAAAACGAAGCCGATCTCCGCAATCTAGAATACAGGTGATGACGAGATATGGCTATGACATTGTATTTCCTCGAATCCTCGGAGTTGCGGATTATTTCATTCAATCATGCGAGTAAGCTGAAAGCTTCGTTCGTCACAGGGTATGCTCTTCGAACGAGCTAACCTTCGAAGGGAGCTCTTTCGATGCGATCACGGCATGCCAATGCGTCCACTACTTCGACTTGGACAAGTTCTACGCCGAAGCTCACAGAGTGCTCCGCAAAGATGGTATCCTGGCATTGAGCGGATACTGCATACCTGTCCCGTCGGTGGGAGACCCCGAGATGGATGCTGCCATCAAGGAGCGTATCATGAAGGTGACAAGCGACGAATTTACGGAAATCCTCAGTATCACGGTAGTCATACGGAGTTCAATAATTATTTGGTCACAGACAGATTCCCCTAAGCGGATTCGCGCTTTCAGCTCTGTCGAGTCGAGCTCGGACCCTATTTCGAAGTGGACATAGACTACTTCGATCGGTGCTACGAGACTCTACCGGCTCCGAAATCTGGTTTTGAACTCGTCGAGAAGAATTTGAAGATCATCAAGGAATGGCCAACCAACCTACATGTGTACCTTAGCTATCTCAAATCATGGTCCCCGTACGTGCATTTCCGCAAAGATCACCCCGAAAACGACATCATGGCTTCTTTGAGGTCTGATCTACGCGCCATATGCCAGGGAGTATTCCAGCAGAAAGGGGACTCTGACTGCAAGGTTGAGGTCGACACTCGATACTTCGTGCACATATTCAGAAAAGTTGACTAGGAAGATCGACAAAACTGCGGCTCAATCATTACAATCAATCGATCTTTTAAGTCAACTCCTTCCAGATAACTATAGTTATATTTCTGAGCGGCATTCTCTATCACCAATTGTGATGGAGCCTTGATAATGATCAATACCGCCCGATGCCTCATTCTGAAGAACCTAGATGACGATGAGTGATGTCGTCTAGGAGCATCGGATTGAAAACTCCACGTTAGGGTTGAATGAACTCGAAGTTCTCTTTATGAGCTGAAATATTTTATTCAGAAATGTCCACCTTTGAGTTGATTGTTGTTCGTCGACATCAATCGTGCGCCTTAAAATCTATTTACATGTCGAACCTTGAGTTATCTTCACTTACTCCTCATTTCTCGACTAGTTAGTCAACGCCTTGAGCAAGGGATGAGTCGCGCCGTAGTTTTCCTTTGCACACATCGTCTTAGCGATGTTCCGGTATCGCTCTGAATTATCTGCGTCGCCCTTCAAGATCTCGTCCACGTTATGCTTGATACGATTACTGCTGTCGTAACAGAAGCCCTGAGCGAGCATGGTTTCGTGGGCGGCTGTCTCAGTCCCCACTCGGTGAGCTCTGGAAGCCCGACCCAGAACAGCAGTCATCGCGAAAATGTCAATTACAACGTCTGCTATTCTTTCGAGCAACATCTGCTGTTCGATGATGTTCTTCCCGTGTTTCTGTAGCGCGAGTTCCACGACGTACTGAAGTCTCTTGGCAGAATACTCCAAAGTTCGAGCTTCTGCCGCCAGCGACGGGTGCACCGCCGACTGAAGTCCGAATCGAAGAACCGGCTTGTCCTTCTTGTCGCAATACCTGGAACCAGAGTCAGACGGTTGTGCTCATAGTATAAATTGAGGAATCTTTGGGATTGATTGTGTATCCACTCTTCATCTAGCCACTCGAATCAAGCTCCGAAATCTTCCGCTTACCGATCATAGGCTTTCCCGAGAGCGGCTCCTGGATTCGTGAGCGGGCTGCCCCATTTCTTCATCATTTCTTTAAGATGACCTCCTGCATGCTGCACGCCCACAAGCGCGATGAGCATTCGGAGGATTTCATTGGTCCCTTCAAAGATCATGCAGATCCGACAGTCCCTGAACGCCCTTTCGTAGGGGAGGCTCTTCAGGAACCCAGCGCCTCCATGGAGCTGAACGAGCTCGGAGGCGATACGCAGCGATGCTTCGGAAGCAAAGATTTTGACGCAGGCCGCCTCCAGGGGATAGTCGGCGTCCTTCACGTTGTCGACGATCGCACACGTCAAGTAGGCCATGCTTTCACAAGCGTAAATATCACAGGCGACTTGAGCGAGTTTCTTCTGCACCAATTCGAATTCCGAAATGCTCCTCTTGAACTGCACCCGCTGCTTCACGAACTGGATCGTCTGGTTGAGACCGTGTCTCGCAGCCCCGGCAAGCGCGCCACCCATACCAAATCTTCCGGTGTTTAGGATATTCACAGCGACTTTGAAACCGTCTTCCGGCTTATGGAGTACGTTCTCGATGGGGACCTTGACATTTTCGAAGTACACAGGCACCGTATTTGAAGCTTTGATGCCGAGTTTGGACTCGGGCTTCCCGGTAGAGATTCCGGGAAACGACTTCTCCACGATGAAAGCCGTGATTTTATTTTTACCAAGTTTCTCTGAGAGAGTTTCGTTCCGAGCGAAGACCGTCATGACGTCCGCGAAGCCACCGTTCGTGATGTAGAGCTTTTGTCCATTCAGGATATAGTGTTTTCCATCGGGACTCAGTCGAACCGAAGTGCTGATAGAGGCAGCGTCGGACCCGCTGTTGGGCTCGGTGAGGGCGAATGACGCGACCCACTCTCCAGACGCGATGCGTGGCAAATATTTCTGCTTCTGCTCTGGCGTCCCGTACATGATGATTCCTTTAATTCCTATCGAGTTATGCGCCATGAGAGTGGTGGTGAGTGCTCCGTCGAGTCCGATGGCTTCGTTCAATCTTACATACTCGGTCGCCGTGAGACCGAGCCCGCCGTATTCTGTCTCTACTTGCTGTCCGAAGAGCCCCAACTCCCGCAAGCCGCTCATGACATCATCGGGGATGACTTCGGTTTCATCGAGCTTATTGGAATCGACTTTCTCGGTGAAGAACTTCAGTACAGTATCGTGCATTGTCTCCACGGAATCCACCTGATCCTCATCGAGGATTTCCGGAAAGGTCAAGAAGCGTTTGTCGAAGTTGCCGACGAACAAGTCCTTGATGAATGGTTTCCGCTCTACTTTGCCGAGGGCGAGCTTCATGTACGGGTTGTTGTCTGTCGAGCTTTCTCGTGTGTTCAGTACGACCACGGCGCTCGCACGACCGCATGTCGCCCGAACGAAGACCTGTCGCCCAGTACAGATTCGCAACATCTGAAACTCAGAGCGAAGACATTAGAACATCGCGGATTCCACGGCAGGGGCTTGCGCCCGGGAACGATACGCGGTGTCATCACAGGTGCCAACAGTCGTCCGCATTGGGCCGATAATAATTTCTCGAGCAACGTAAGATGACGCCCGGGGGACCTCTTAATTTATCCCGCTGACCCAGTGAGTATTTTCAGAGACTATCAACTTGACTCCATGAAAATTCAGAAGCTCCGCCAAGAAGTAAGCTCCCTATGAGATCTCGCACGGACTGCAGTCGATGAGTGTGCCGCACAACACAGGAATCAGCCCGCGAGTCTGAATTGAGGACAATTCAAGATCAGAATTTTACAACAGGTTGCCGAATTGATAGATTCACCAGAGCGGATGCGGATTGTCTGGATTAGGGGCAAATTGTGGTCCAGCTCAGCTTTGAGTGTTTCTCAAGGTCCTGTGCCCGAAGAATCGAAATCTTTCGGCATCGACATCCACGGCATGATACATCGCTAGTCTGTCTTGTTTCCAGATAGGAGGACCGAGGACGCTCGCTGACCTACGGCTCTAAGCCGTACTGTTCTCGAAGCATTCTCAGAGAGTTGCTGGTCTGTGTGCTGGAATTCGCAGGATGAGTGATTCTTTCCGCCTGAAGCTCCGTTCCAGAATCTTCCTCAAATCGAAATCCACTTGTTTACGTATCCGTCCATAGGCTGAACAAGCTTTCGCAATGTTCGTGATCAGGAGTTTCGCAAGCTCCCATCCCAAAAGCGACCTGTTTTTTGACAACACATATGCGAGAGCAGCTGATTGAATTCTCGGGGATTCCCAGCCCGGACACGCCGAGCGGTTGGTGGCGGTTCTCGGAGCTAAGCTCTTGTTTCTCACCTTGGGTCGATGTTACGTTTATTTCGACAAGATTCAGCGACGGATTGAGCGAGAAATCGCTGGCTCTCTGGTCGTATTGTCAACACCAACACTGAAAGCCACCGATCGAGAAGACACAAGACACGACCTGCTGACTGCTTGCTCTGTGTCGGTTCGCAGGCGACGACACAGCACACAACTTGTGAGCGCCGCCGTCTCCCTTCCTCACACGGCCGCCACTGCATTACTCGTCGGCCGCTGTCAGTGGAGGCAATTCGCGATCCGACGGAATTATATCTCGCAGTGAAGTCTGGCTGTACTTCCATTCAGCGTCTGTTTCTTCGCACGAATCCTTTCTGGATCGATCGAACTTATGAGCCTATTGGCGGAGAAGGTACATCAGGGGGGTGAATTTCAGAATGATGGCCGAAAACAGAGACTTTGAAACAGCTTCCATGTGACATTCTCTGGTTAAACGCCGCTGCCTGTCGCCGAGATTCTCGGGGAAATCGTCCCCACGGGCGATGTAATCGATCGGAGTCGAGTGACACGACCCCTCGGAATATGTAACAACATGAATTCGAAGCTTCCGCGACGATGAGCTTGCAACTTGAAACACTGGAATGCTGGAGGTTATCTCAGTCCAAAGGTCTTTTCACTTCGAGGAGCGGACCGGTTCCGGTCAAAGTCCAGCTCAGCTCATAACTCGGTTCACCCGAACGATATGAGTGGTAAGGTCCAGTGACCGGGCGTACCAGGCTGTCGGCTCGTCGTGGTAAACATACGCAGTCTCACTGTTATAGGCGAGTCCGGCAAGGTGAATGAGTTCAGCTGGATGCCTTTTCGAGGGACTCCCACGAGAACTAGAGGTCGTGGAGGATATCTTACGCGAGGAAAGCCGTTTCGCAGGCCTCCATTCAGACCACACTGACGAGTTCCTCTGAGGGAGTCGCGCCACGGATGGACTCGCAGTCAAATCAAATCAAATGGGTTCATTTCACACCGCTTCGCAGAAGACAGAGATTGATAGAGGGAGGGAGACGCACATGATTATAGGCAGAAGTGATATTATTCACAAAGCGGCGGTAGAGTAATAGGAGCAATTTGGTTCGGAAGTCTATTGGAGATCCAGCGGATTTGAGAGCTCCGGCTAAGCTATTCCAGAGAGCCGGCGCCTGATAGAGTAGACGGATAGTCTATGCTCAGCGATTCCGAGGATGGGGGAACTCGGACTGGGTTTTGTTCCACCATCGATTGATAATAGGAATATAGGGTAAGCTCCCGGAGAGGAGCTCATGACTCGTTTTATCGCCAATTTCGAAAGTGAGCTCCTGCACCCTCGACAGATTGGAAAATTCACTAGTAAGGCGAGCAGTATCGGCTCGAAGGGGCTCGGATACTCACAGTGGGCCTTCCCAATCGAGATCTGGGAAGGGGGCTCATCGATTCTTCTCCCGCTAGAAAGGCGAATACCCCCGTCGGAATGATTCTCCTCAACCCTATCCCCGATCATCTGACCGTTCTGCTCGTACATCTGTAGCAATCGCTAAAGACTCAAGCTCTGCAACGTTCGCGGAGAATCGCTCGAATCCACCTATTGTCGTCCGTCGAAGTCCAAAAGGCGTAGCTAGCTGGAGTTGCGCCCAAAGGGGGAGTGATTCTTTAGTTCCTGAGTTTTCTCATGCGAATAGTGAATAGCGATGATAGCGTTCCTCGATTCGAGGACAGCAATGGATTGATCGACGAATCGATCAGTTTCTCGTTTTGAGAATTAGAGCTCCGGACATCTCCCGATCCTGCAGAGCATCGGTGCGGCGTTGGCGTTCACCGCCGCGTCGTAGAGATCGCGCATGGCGAACGATCTCCAACAGGTTCGCCAAGCTTTGGAATCGGCCGCAACAATGCTCTCCCAGCTCCAGGTGCAGTCGAACCTCTAACAAGGGTTCGGAGTGGAGAGATAAGGATGGGCCCTCATTTCAGACAACCTGCCTCCGAAGACTTCAGCTGCGAATTGCCTCATGAATCCTGCACCGTCATAATCGCTCCAGCATGCGGATATCAAATCAATGTCAGTCGACTGTATCTGAAGGAACGGATCGAAACGGGAGACCTCGATTATGCACGGCAGGATACGAAATTCTAGCTTATCTTGCCACGGTAGCTCTCGAAGGACACCGAGAAATGCCGGGGCTGCGGGCGAATTGAGTGGATCATGAATCTCCGCTGGTTCCCACCGCTTGATCCATGTGGAAACTAGGGCCTCATCAGGGTCACCGTTAGAGATATCCTCACCGTATCGAGGAATAATATCCGGTCGGAGAGTCGAACCCTAGACGCAGCCAAAGGAAGAGCGCAATCATTTAGTTTTACTTCGAGAGATGGCAGTTGCGCCAAAACGATCTCACCAGAGCTCGTGGCCCTCGGTAGAATTTATTCTCGAACCGGGACGATGGATGATTGTTGATTAGAACAGAAAATTTTGAAAATTTCGCTTTCATTTTCTCTCCCTCTTTATTCTCCGCCTTGTTCATCTCCAGGATCATATTGGCTTAAGCGAACGCCGTATTACTTTTTAGATTGTGGTTTCCTCAGTTTAAGATTAAAATGTAATTCCTTTGTGTTCCATTCTCTCTTTCTTTTTCTCATTCTTTTGCTTTTCATCATGTAGGCGCTGCTCCAGCTATTCTCGTCTTTCGCATTCTTCAGGTGGTCAGAGGTTCGATTAGCAAAAATCGCAGCTTGGAGTTCTCGGGTTCGTTGGCGACAATCTCGTTGTTGTTGTTGTTGCTGCTGCTGCTGTTGCGGCTGTTGTTGATGTCGCTCGAAGAAATCGTTGGTGTTATTGTCGTTGTAGCTTGTTGCTTTAGGTGAAATTCGTTTTGGAGAATCGCTTCGTCGCTGAATGTTGTATTTAATTGTTCTTGTTGTTGCGGTTGTTGTTTGTGGTGTTGCTGATGGTATAGCATTGAATAACTTAGAAGCACTTCCTGTGCACGATGGACGGGCCGGATTCATCGTATTCCTGCTTGGAGATCCACATCTGTTGGAAGGTGGACAGCGAGGCGAGGATGGATCCTCCGATCCAGACGGAGTACTTCCTCTCAGGAGGAGCGATGATCTTGATCTTCATGGTGGAAGGAGCGAGGTTGGTGATTTCCTTCTGCATACGGTCGGCGATTCCTGGGTACATCGTGGTTCCACCGGAGAGAACGGTGTTGGCGTACAGGTCCTTTCGGATGTCGACATCGCATTTCATGATGGAGTTGTAGGTGGTTTCGTGGATTCCGCAGGCTTCCATACCCAGGAACGAGGGCTGGAACAGAGCCTCGGGACAACGGAAACGCTCGTTTCCGATGGTGATGACCTGGAATGCGGGAACGAGCGAATTAGTAGCGAACGATCACCGAAAATCCAATCTAATCGATCGGGAACGAACTCACTGGATGTAGGTGGAAATAAATCGTTTGACGGGCATGATGAATACGAAAAAGCGCCATATGACCTAATCATTCGAATATTTACCTGGCCGTCAGGGAGCTCGTACGACTTCTCGAGCGAAGACGAAGAGGCGGCCGTGGACATTTCCTGCTCGAAGTCAAGAGCGACATAGCAGAGCTTCTCCTTGATGTCACGAACGATTTCACGTTCGGCAGTGGTTGTGAAGGAATAACCGCGCTCGGTGAGAATCTTCATGAGATAATCGGTGAGATCACGTCCGGCAAGATCCAGACGAAGGATGGCGTGAGGAAGAGCGTATCCTTCATAGATGGGCACGGTGTGGGAGACACCGTCGCCGGAGTCGAGCACGATACCGGTAGTACGACCCGAGGCGTACAGCGACAATACGGCCTGGATGGCAACGTACATGGCGGGGGTGTTGAACGTTTCGAACATGATTTGGGTCATCTTTTCTCGGTTGGCCTTCGGGTTGAGGGGAGCCTCGGTGAGCAGGACGGGGTGCTCTTCCGGAGCGACACGGAGCTCGTTGTAGAAGGTATGGTGCCAGATCTTCTCCATGTCGTCCCAGTTGGTGACGATACCGTGCTCGATGGGGTATTTCAAGGTGAGAATACCTCTCTTGGATTGCGCCTCGTCTCCGACGTACGAATCCTTGTTGCCCATACCGACCATGACACCCTGGTGACGAGGGCGACCTACGATCGAGGGGAAGACGGCACGGGGTGCGTCGTCTCCGGCGAAACCGGCCTTGCACATGCCGGAGCCGTTGTCGACGACCAGAGCGGCAACATCATCGTCGCACATTGTGTATTATTTAACAAGGGATTTCGGTCTGGAAGAGGCAAGAAAAACAATTTCATTAGTCATGATCCCCAACCTCTTGGTAGGAACACACGCTTCCATGGCTCCTCGAAACGGCCCGTCCGAGAACAGATCAACGAGAAGTGCCGGACGACGGAGACAGCGACGCAGCGGCGTCCATTACTTCACCGATGGCGTTTTTCTGCCGAGAGGTCGGTGCCACGTCAAAGGCCGTCCCGCGAGCCACCGAGCCGACCGGCATTGCGCGAGACAGATCCAGACGACGGCAACTTCACAGAATTCCGGCTCCGTTGCTCGAAATTCGCCGTCGGTTCTTGAAGGCGACCCGCTTGTCACCCTCGGAACGGTTCTCACTGACCCCGGTGGTAAATACTCGACGATAGCGTCCGCGTCGTCACCACCACAATCATTGTCATCACCGTCGGGAAAACGAGAATCCGTGTCATTTGCCACGGAATGCAAGCGAGCCGGCCAGTCTTCCGGGCGACCACCGAGGGTTCGCTAAGCAGAACGGATGAAATCGAGGAGCACGATTGTTTCGAACACGTCTCAAGTGTAAGAACAAATGGTACTTGAAAACGCCTAGGACCTTAGAGTGTGACAGTCCTCATCAATCGACTTAAATCAATGTGGAATAATTTTTCCCCGAAACGATTCGCGCAGAAAATTCCTCGGAGAAAACAATGGTCCCATTGTGAGGGTGCCTCTGGATATTTTCCCAACTCGTTCCGCCGTGGTGGGTATGAAGAACCAAGCCCTGACAACGAATTAGAGGAGGTTGCAGCGTGATCGCTCACCGTCCGCGGCAGACCGATTTGCGATCGGAAGAACTCGTTCACCGCTCGTCTCGAGTCGCACCCAGCATACAATGAAGCGGAAATGTTTCAAGTCTCAGTTTTTTTTACGCTTTCCAGAAATAGAAACGCCGCCGTTGCCCCATTCAGTACAGCAGGTAGGGCGAGTTGACTCTTGCCCCGAGGAGAAGGGAAACGCGGCATCGCAACGCCCAACCCTCCTGCAATGCCCATCCCTTGCGTTGCGCTACCCCACCTCCAGGCGACGGCGGCTCCGAAACTTCTCGCAAGCCACGCGCAGGCGAACTCGGGACTCGAGCGAGAAGCTAGCCGCTAGTCGGGCAGACAGTCCGCAGACCCACCCCGCCCAACGCAGAACTCTCCACCGCCACAGACCGCACCCAAAACTCCGGCACCGGCAGAATACTGAGCACCAAATACGGCGTCGATGACGGTTGCCCGGATCGCGGTGGCCGCGCTGTTCGGATCAGCTCGTTCGTTAGAAACGCTGGCTTATAGGAGATGGCTGACTAAGTCGCGCCGCCGATTTGGCGAACTCCTCTCCAAATTCAGAAACGCCCCCATACAAAATTCTTCGACCGAATCAAGATACAGCGTCGAAACGGCTGTTCACGCCGACTGGCAGAACACCGACTCCAGGAGCTTATACTGAAACAATCGGAACGAGAAGTCTCTCCCGAACTCAGACTTCGGACATTACCGCAAACCTCAGTACACGTACAAAAATCCGCAAGACGGCTCTCGCGATTTCTGAGGGCGGCCCTCGCCGACCATGCGTTAGTCAGCACAAGTCGGCATGCGTCACCCGTACCGGCCGGCCGGCAGACCGACCCGCCGCCGGCCAGCCGGCTTCTTCTATATTTGGCTATACAGAGAAATAAATCGCCTCGATACGAATCAGCATATCCATCGGGACTCGCGGGACGCTTTGACCGTTAGCTTAGCGACGCGGAGGCATGAAGGCATGCGCCTTTGGAGAGCCGCATACTCCACGGAGGCATGACCGAGAGGCACACCCTGCCGCAGCGGCTGCCGAACGCCTCCACCACTGACAAGCGGCTGCCGACCAACGACAACCACCTTGTGTCAATAGCGGCAGAAGCATCGTATTCCACCGAACGAAATACGGTCAAATAATCGCTAATCAGAACACATACACAATGGCCGTTGAGGGACGCCATTCAAAGGCGGCTCCGAGGCACGCGGCGTCTCACTTGAAGCGACGCGGTCAGAGTCGGTCGGTCCGACCGACCGACCCGCCGGCCGGTCGCCACGCCATCACTCGACACCGGAGAAAATAAGTGAAAAACCGATTCCGATGCACCGAGTGCACTTCGTTCACTGGCAGGACGACGGGCCGTCTAGAGATCGTGAGAAGAGTATCCATGGATCAAGGCTTGGCGGCCGCGTCGTCGTCGTTGTCGATTCAACCGCTACTACTCGGACCCACCCGGCGGCCGGCTTGCACAAGCGCCGAGAAAATGCCAAAATCAACAAAATTCAAGTGAAATGATAGAGTACACTTGACGGAGGCAACACAACAGCACAATAGCTGCCGAGATACTCGACTGCAATCGGCGTTTTCTACAAGAACGAACTCAGTTTGCTGTTCAACTTACACGAAGAACAAGTTGTTCACAACGTAGCTGCACGAGCACGCTGGATGGCGCTGGCCAAGTGACTGAGCCTTATACTCCCCTCGTCCAAGCAAGCTGCCGGCGTCAGGTGACGTCGGCTCCAAATAAGGCGATCCCATTGGTCGAGCGGGAGCGCTGGAGCCGCATCCACCAATCAGCGATCGGCTTGCCATCATTGACCATATATGGTATGGTGGTGGATCGGGCGCGAGAATTCGAATCCAGGCTCCAACTTTGACAGTCACGTCAAACTAAGCCTAGTCCAGACAACGCCTTCCGATCGTTAGAGGCTTTGATTTCACGCTGACGATGGAGCCGTGCGACGAATCCGACATTCCAGTGCCGAATCCCCCTAATTTGTGGAGAAATCCCTCGTGACATGTGGGCTCCACCTCAGAGCACGCCGTCCCAACCGGCTTCGTGAAGTACTGAATGACATTTTTCCCGATCGATCGGAATCAGTCTAGAGTTTCCCGGCTGTCGGGATGTGATGGAGACGAGCTCGGCTTTCGGCTCGCTTCTCATGGAAATTACTGATGAGGCGTGCTAGTGACATTCGTAATTGAAAGCATGGCGTTTTGGCGGCAAAATTCGAATTTTCCGTTGGAGACTCAGGTCATGATATAATAGCGGTCGGCGGCGGCGGGCAGATGGAACGTTGGAGAGTCCTTGAGAATACGAAGCAACTGACAGCAGAATCGCCAAACGGCCCGACAACAACGGTCCAGTGCGAGCACGGCTGCATGTATTTTTCGGTTGTGAGGCGATTTTTGGGAATAACACGGGAAGCGGGGGATTTTTTTACAATTACTCAGCGGGAAGGATTCTCGATTCAACGATCATTCTGAGACAATGAAAATTTGACGGATGCCCTGTCCCCTGATGGAATGGTACAAGCACAGAGAAATCACTGAGACGCACGATCGCTGTGAAGTTCGAGACCTGGCGCGGCGGTATCTCATCCGTTCGTGTCTATCACGGCTCAATGGATGATTCAGCGGAAGAATATCGCGCCCTTTTCGGACGGAATCTCGGAATATTTCCGAGAATCGGAACAAACTCTGAGTGAGCGATGACATATACCAATGATGGATCGCGAGCACTTTTGCAGAAACGATGAGGATCTGCTGAGGCTCATTAGCAGACACCTCTACAGACACCTCGGATCGCCAAGTCCCCAGAAGGCGCATCCTTGCTTCTCATAACTCAATTTCAGATTCATTGAAGTCATATCTCAGTTAAGCGAAATCGACTCCATTCTGTCCTGGGAAGAGCCCTGGCCGAACTGTTTCTGCCTCCGTGAGGATCTGCGGCGAACTTCCGAAGTCATTGGAGTCGGCATACCTTCTCCGGTACGGCTCGACGACGGTCTTCTTCTGATCTCAGATCCTGATCGATGCCAGTTCGCGGGAAGGAAACGCCGCGGTTTCTTCGCCGAGTTACCCTTTTCCCGGCTGCAGATTTATCGAGACTATCGGTCAACACAACGAAATAATTGGTGGAGCTTGGTGGAAATCTCTTATCGCCATGGAATCTATGCGACGGATTCTTCATCGATAGACACGAAGCACCTCGCGAGCGATCTCGCGCGTAGACATTCCTCTCCGAAAAAGTCGGTGACTTATTTTTCATTCGCTCCGACAAAATGAGGTATCGATTCGTTGGGTGTGCTCTCGAGGACGCTCTCCAACGTCGGAATGGGCAAAACTTATCGCCGGGGCATCGATCAAACCTTTGGATCATTTTATATCTTCGCGGCTTTCGGAGATCCCTGCGATCTGCGATGGATTGCTTGCTCCGATCGCATTGAGAAACTCCGTGAACAAGTCAGCCAGGAATTCACGAGAAACCATACCCGAAAAGTCTATATCCATCGGAAATGAAGAGCTAGTCGCTAAGGGAAACATGGCGGGGATCGGTGCCGGTTTCAGCCAGGGGTGAATCAAACACATCGCCTAGTCGTGTTGAGCAGCAAGGAACGAATCTCAGGCACAATCAAGCTTCTGTCATTATTTCTCAAGCACCGCTCCTGAGAGCCTCACTGAGAGTCTCGAGATATACCGACAACCGACAACGCGTTCTACGATGGCTTGAGACAGCGAACACTCACGCTGGGACTCTCCCCTTGGAATGAAAATGTATTATCGGGTCGCCAGACCTACGACGCTCGGGGTCTCGCAGCAAATCACGAAGTCTGTCTCGATATGATCCGTTCTGATGGGTGATTTCGATGAGCAGACTCGCTGATTTGCTACATTCAGGAGACTGATGCAAGCACAAGGAGTAATTAGAACAAGGACGCACGACAGTCAGTCAGCATGTTGCCGACATTGTTTTTGTCGCGCAAGCGACAGCTTTCGCTGAGCCATCCAACTTCAATCCCTCCGGACTCGTCGGAACGCCCTGATCCCTACAGAAGCTCTGAATATGGTTGGCTGCTCCTCTAAAGAGCATCGCGGATGCCTAAGCAGGTGACTCGCTGCTCGCAGAAAGCGGTTCACAGTTCCACTATACTGATATTATAATCGAAGCTTGGGAGCTCACGGCATGAGTCACGCTCCTTGCGCTACGTCATGCAGAGAAGCGGATGTTACGTCGAAAAACACTGCTTGGAATTTCCTACGGAAACGCCGCATTGACGCTCTATTCGTAGAAAAGAGCTCGTCATTGCGCATCGCTTAGGAGATTACCGTAAAATTCAACGAGATGCGCGAGCATCGGATCAGCAGACTTCTGGCGTTGCGGCGCCGACTCCGGCTTTGACATTGACCCAATAATGAAGGGATGGTCTCCGGGCTGGAAGCATCCTGTGTGGCAGGCGCTGTCACGCCGGCTGTCCCCCATGAAATTTCAGGCCAGAACAAGTCAGATCCATTACTCGCGGAGCAAAATCATACATTTGGTTTGCGTCTCGTAGATCCAGACATAGACTGCGACCGAGTCTCAAGTAGTTTGGCTCATCGACGTCTTCCCGGATGATGTCATCCCGCCTAGAAGGCATGACGCTTACTCAGCGGTGTACGTCGCAGCTCCACCAGAAAATCGCTGCTCTGATACTTAATTCGGTACAAGTACTTTCGATTTTCGCCTCGTCACTCCGCGGCCGCCTCCTATGATGAAATCGAATGAATATCAGATGTTTGAATCCATCTTGGAGGGATCAAAGAAGTCTCGACGACTCAAAGGCCTTCTCGGAACTCGAACCGATCAGAACCGCAGCTCGTCTCACGCGCTCGCCCGGAGCGTCATAGGGTTCCGCGGTTGGACAGTGGTTGATGTACCATTCATTGTTTGCTCGGGGTGGTGGCCGGTGGTGCTTCTGCAGCTATGCCGGTCATGGTGGTGGCGAGACGAGTCAGTCGGTCGGTCGGTCGAACAAGTCACTCACTCAGTCAGTCGAAATTGTCCCATTCAAGCCTTATTAGGTGGATTTAGAAAACAGAAACTTTGAATAGGGACGACCATTTCGAGCCATCGCGCTGTTTCTCGCACTCGTTTTGTTGCGGCCGAGTCTAGCCGCTCGATTCTTGGGTTTTCGAACTCTCACTTCAAAACAACGTTCCGAGAGACGGGAAGGCTCAGTCAAAACAGTTGTGAGTCGTCCGTATCGGAATGCGCGTCTACAGAAGCCAGAGCTGCCGAAGCCTGATCGGGGGTGGATGAATCTCAGTAAGGCCTTCCGAACATTCTTCGAAATCTCTTCATGAGGCTGTCGGGCGAGATTCAAAATCATTCGACTCAATGATTAGTCCGGTGTCGAGCGGCAATGTCTCGCTCCTGGTTCCCAAGCACGGATCCTTGGAAAGGGTGTCTGAACAAGATGTCTGTCAATATCATCCACAGCCGCCGCCACCGCTGCCGCCGCGGCAGCAACACCAGCTACCGCCTCATCATCGTCATCATCATCATGGCGGCACGCTCAAGTGCCCCTCATTCATTACCGTTCTCTATAAGGTACTGGACCATCGGTGCGTGTCCCGATATTCACTTATGTAGAATGACTCGTATCTGGTTTTCTGTTCTCCGAGCGAGTATTGGCATCGCTCTTAACATCAAACCATTGATTTTATTCAAGCTCTTAATTTTCAAGGTGAAATCGTCGGCTCATTCGGTAAGCGGTCCCGACTGACGTACGTTTTGAATTCAAGACGCCCCGATTTCCGCATGAGGTTTGCGATTAATCCACGGTTGCTGCAAAGCAGCACGACTCGCGCGCAACATTTAAGCATGCGGTTTCATGAAAGCTTCGGATTGAAGTTTCCAGAACGGACGAATACCGGTAGAGAATGTGATCGCGGATGGGGCTTGAGGAAGCAATGCTCAAGGCGAAGGTTCTTCCTCAAGCAGATGATACTCGCCGAATTATGGTTTTTTCGACTCCCGCTTCTCTAGAAGTTTTTTCGAAGCTTCGCAGATCGAGCGATCTGGAACCTGGAGCATGAGCCTCCCAGAGCTGCTCAATATTAGTCAGAGAAGGATTTCCGATTCGACGCTCGGGAGGAATATCAAAAATACCGAACTTGGTGATATCGAAGTGAGTCATATCCTGCTCTCGGACGGAGGAGAATGCTCTAACCGAGCAAACAAGACTGATCCCACCATCGAGCACGGATACGTGGCTCGGCGGTTGCACTCGGAAGGAAATGCAGACAAATATCAATTCTTCGAATCATTGTCAGGATCGAGGAAGGATTCTCTCAGGCTTGCGCGAAATCAGTCACCACAGACCAGCATTCTCAATGAATGCTGCACAGCGAGCATGGTGATCATTTAGAGACGATCGTTACAGCGACGGAAAAAAACTGTGACTAGGCCGTCATAGCCCTTCCTTCTCCAGCAATAATTATGATTCACGGGATGGTCCGTCGTTTAAGGCTCTACGCCGGAACGAGTGAATCGTTCCCGATGGCCTTTGATTCCCGAATCTCATAAGCTCGTAGAAATATTATTTGAGTGGAGCGATCACGCAGCCGAAAGCGACCCTGAAGTTCAAGAGCTAGCAATCTACGTAAAGTTGAGCGCACGTCCTGGATGCGCATAAGCGAACGAGCTCCGGGAACATTGCCGCTATCCACGTCAAACAAAAACTGGCGAAATGCGCT